AAAATGTTATCGATTAAATATTAACAAGTAAGTTGTTGTTAAGTTAAAATAATTAAATAAGTTATTCAATTTTTTAAATTAGCAATCTGTGTTGATATTTTTTAATACAATAAAGTTTAAAATTAAAATTGTACAGTCATAAAATCCTTATAAATATTTTGTTTTTCTTGAACATGTATTTTGATACCCGAAGATGAAATTTTATATCGTACTTAATCATTAATTGAGCTATTTTAATTCCATCAGACCTTTTCAGACGACCTTCTTTGTCATCCAACTATGTTATTACAGTTTGAATTATGTATAAGGCTGGCTACACACGTAAGTTTTAACTTTATAAGTCGTCATCATCAGCTCACGTCCCCACTGAGGCTGGGAGCTTACCCTAAGTTAGCGGTGATTAGGTCATAGTTAACCACGTTGGCACAATGCGGGTTGCTTTATTTGGGTTAAAGAATGGGAACGTAAAGTGGATTGGATGAAAGAGTGTATGTATAGGAAATATTCTATTTCTGTGCGACTCCTCCTCTGTCGAACAAAGGTAGGCAACGCATCTACAATTGCGTATGTATGTAACAGCGCTCGCTTTGCTATTTTGGTGAATTTAGGTGGCAGTTTGCTTGTATGCCACCTTATGATATAGGAAAAGATTTAGAAGAATTTGAGCTTTTCCGTTAAAGTATGACGTGGGCGACTTCAAGAGTAGAGTACCCTATTCAAAATTGATATATAAACGGCTAAACACTCACATATATTCGTCCGGTGGCGGCACCGTCTAGTTTCGAGCCCATCGGAGGCCCTTCATCAGGATGAGTGGTACTGGTATTATTTCCGGACGTGAGCGACGGGCCGCGAGGGACGAATATACGTAAGTGTTTAGCCGTGTTTATATATCAATTTAGTATAATGTCTCACGAAAGTTTGAATAATTTAGTACCCTATTCACTCTCATTCTTATTTATTAAGCTAACGCGTGCCCATCTTTCGACCACATCATTAATTAACATCAGGTAGGTGATCAAGCGCTTGTTTATTCAATACAAAGAATAGTCTTATATATATATATAAAAGAAAGTCGTGTTAGTTACACTATTTATAACTCAAGAAAGGCTTTACCGATATGCCTGAAAATTGGTGAGGAGGTAGCTTAGAGCATGGAGACGGACATAGGGTTCTGTTTATTCTTTATTTTATTTCTATTTTTTCGAATTTATGCCTTGAAGAGCTGCTTTTTATTTAACTTATTTATATATAAAGTTTTTTTATATATCCACGCGGACGGAGTCGCGGGCAACAGCTAGTTTGAATATATTTTTAATTAGCTGTTTTAACGTTCCCACACATATCGGTGCAATGAACAGGAAAGCGCTGTGGTGTAAACATTTCCTTTCAGATCACATAAACATTGGTAATGCCACAAAAGGCCCTTTTAGCCATAAGTATATATTAATTTTTATCGATATATTATACATGTTTTTTGCAAGTATGCAGAGAAAACAGACAGTTAAAATTTTACGATTTAATTTTTTATACAAACACATATTTAATGTAAATTAACTTTTATGGATGAGGAAGAAACGAATGGAATATGGAATTATTTAAATATCGAATAAGTGCGTGTTTACACTGCTAACTTGTATAAAAACATCTTATCTTGTTCTTAGTCATCATTAACCTGCCCTTATCCCTATACAGGGTCGGCAGAGTATGTACTCCATACATATCTATCTGCCGTCGTACCTAAATCTGCCCCCTTTCTACGCTTATACTCTTTCACACAGTCATTCCATACTTTTCCTGAGCTTCCTCTACCTTTGCAGCCATCCGCATTCAATCTCATTACTTTTTGTATATCATCATCATCCCTCCTAAAATGTCTTATCTTGTTCTTAGTCTGGTTTTTAACCCTTGACCGATTTCGACCTGTTAGTAATTCGGTATGTAATCTCGCAATTTACTTTTGATTAGAAAATAGCTGTCGCCCGCGACTCCGTATGCGCAGAATTAAAAACAAACTTAGTAGTATATCTGTTCTTCCAGACAATGTTCTACATATATGCTAAATTACAGCGAGATCTATGCTGCCGTTCCGGAGATATCTTCAAACAAACATCCATCCATCTTCTTCAAAATATTTTCATTCTTTGAGTTTAATATTTGACACAAACGAAGTAACAGTACAAAGTCACTTTACAAAAGATTCCTCAAGTCAGTAAAAGAACACCAAAAATCACATACTATAATAATTTTGATATAATGACGATATCTATAAGGCGATTGTCACAAATATTTACGCTAGGGTCATTGTTAATGACTTCGCAGCTGACAACCCTAAAACATATAAACTTTAAGGTTTATTGTTATATCCTTGCATAAATATCTTATGATATTTAAAAATGCCGGACGTATCAGTATTTATGCATAAAAACATATCATTTATGAAACTTTATTTGATAGTGTCTGTACTCCCTTCAATATATGGCTTACACTAAATCTGGAAGTAAACTTCCTAATTACCACACTGACAAGTTTACGTTGTTTTTTTATAACAAAAGGGGGCAAACGAGCAGCAGGAACACCGAGGTGTTTAACGACGCCCATGGACATCAGCAATACCAGAGGAACAACAGATGCGTTGCCGGCCTTTAAGATGGTGATACGCTCGCTTCTTGAAGAACCCTCAGTCGTAGCGGTTTGGAAATACCGTCGAGGACAGACTATTCCACAACGCTGCTGTGCGAGGCAGGAAGTTACGCGCAAACCGCACGGTTGTGGATTGCCAGCCATCGAGATGGTGTGGATGGAACCTGGCGGTCTGTCGTGTCGTCCGATGACGGAACTCGGACGTTTTTATGTATGTTCGAAGGCGACAGTTATCTTACTATCTTAAATCTTACTAATATTATAAATGCGAATGTTTGTTTGAAGCTATCTCTATCACGGCTGAATGGACATCGATGAAATTTGGTATACATATAGAACATAGCCTGTAAGAACACATAGGCTACTAATTAAGTTTTTTCTTGATTCCGCCCGGACGGAGTCGCGGACGACAGCTAGTATTTGATAAGTAACTAGAGACTAACAATTAAAAAAACATAAGTGTTCTTCCAGATTACGTTCTATGTCTACCTTCAAATAAACATCCATCCATCCAACTTAACATTCGCATTTATTTTTAAGAACTTTATTGGTAAGATGTAAGATTGTATGTGAAGGAAAACATCGTGATGCAACCTGCACATATCTGAGATGAAATTCAAAGATATGTGTGAAGTCAACCAACCCGCACTAGGCCAGCGTGGTTGACTTTAGTCACCCTTAACTTTGGGTAGGCTCCGAGCTCGGTGGGGACGTATAGTAAGCTGATGATGAAGATTATATGTACATTTAACTACATATAGCCTTTAAAATGATTGTCAGAAACTTATACTTAAAAATACATAACTAATAATTGTTTTTTTTTATTCAATCTATTGTTTAAGTTTTTCTATCAAAAACTGTTGTCATATTTCTATGTTCGGGGTCAAAGGTCAAGTGGCTTGTACAAGGATTACGACATTAAAAACAATAGTTTTTATGACATACAGAAGACCTACAGTTCATCTGAAATCATAAAATATACTCGTAAGCTGAAAAAAAAAACAATTTGCTTGGAATATTTTTCTCTTCTTCATTCGCTTTGAAAAAATAATGATAATAATCTTATCTTATGACTTACTAATATTATATGTACCTAAATGTTGAGATGGATGGATGGATAGATGGATGTTTGTTAGATCTCTAAAACGGCTGCATAGATCTCTGGATGAACACTTAGGCTTAAATATATATTTTTAGACATTATTAGTTAGAATCCTTTGGCGCGCATGGGTTTTAGTTACCAAGTCAAGTGTCAGATTGATTAGAGAGAGAACATAAACGTTGACATTTTAATAAGGCTAGTGTTGCGCCACACCGACACATTGTCGGATTTTCTTTCTTACACATATATTTTTTAATTCCGTGCGGATGGAGTAGCGGGCGATAGCTAGTGGAATATAAAATATCCCTTTACGACAACCAGAACCTACAATATAATATGCGTTCATATTAATATTATGCTATTTTAAATACCTACTATAAATAAACCATTTTAAATATCAATGGCCTAATGGTTAAGGGTACGGATTTCCGATCACGCGGTCGGGGGTTCGAATCCCTCCATTCGATTATTGTCGTAAACCATGTCCTAGCACAAGCATATAGCTTAGTTGGAATGATACAAGAAATATTAGTAAATTTACAAACAAAAATACTTTAAAAACAAACGTTTAATTATACTTTTGGTAGTAAGTCTTTTGTTAGGAAACAAAACTAAGGTTTTCACAAAAAAAAATTGTTATTCTCATTTTGTTATAATTTTTTTAATTATTATGTTTATTTTGTACAAAAGAAATATTGAATAAGCCACATTGTTTTTGAACTTATCATATTTTTTATAATCTTATAATATTAACATTTTTCGAACGCAAAAAAATTACGTCCTTTAAATATTACGCCTTTTAAATATTGTTGGTAATTAAATTATGCATATGCTTATATAAACAATCAACATATGCATATCTATAGGTCAAATCATATTTGTGTATACCTAACTTACATTTCAAGCCTATCTTCCTTGTGGTCGTGGCATTACACCTGACGATTTTTTTTTATCCTAAGGTGGCAAACGAGCGAGCAGCCACCTGACATCGCTGAAATAGCGTAGTGACCATTGCCCAAAGACATACGCAATTGTATATGCGCTGCTAACCTATAATCGACAGAGAAGAGGATGCACGGAAAGAAAATATCTTCCCTTTTCATGCATCCTCTAATCCGGAAAGTCCACTTCCACTTGCCATCCGCTCCTTATAAGAAAAAGGATGGGAAGGGAAAGTGGACTAATTAGGCCTCCGGGACGCACACTGATCAGATGAAACTCGGAATTGCTTCCACTTCACGCCTGTCTTCTGTGTGGTCGTGGTATTTCACCGGGCGAGCCGGGCCGATTCGTGCGAAAATGTTAAAGCGGGCTCTACCACTGTTGAAATATCGATGACTTTACGAAAAAAATCGCTAATATCTCTTTAGCAAATAGACCCTTTGTTACATTTTATTGCGAAAGCGATAAAAATTCTTTGTCTACAACCTTGGTATATCTGGCTGAATTTCAATGCTTAAACTTTTTATGTACACCGTACTTCTTAAGGTATCATGTTCCATTGAAGTGCTATTCATCGTGCTTCCCTCGTGTGATATAAGCAACGAATGTACGTTGTATCGGCATTTCGACAAGCACCATCATTGGTATCGCCAGTAGATAAGAAGTTAATGTCGTTTGAATAACATATATTGCCTGTAACAAAATAAAAAATAATCGTGGGTTTTAGAACAAAATCTACGTTTAAAGCATATCGTTATCTCAGTTTTGTCAAAGATAATGATTGGATAACGATATGTTTTATATAGTCTAGCTGTCGCCCGCGTCTCCGTTCGCGCAGAATTAAAAAAAAACTTAACTATTAGCCTATATGTTCTTCCAGGCTATGTTCTACATCTATGCCAAATTTCAGCGAGATCCATACAGCCGTTCTGGAGATACCTTCAAGCAAACAAACATCAATCCATCTATTCAAACATTTGCATTTATAATATTAGTAAGAAGTAAAATAATAGAGATTTTCATCTGAGAAAGTAACGATTAGTTTCACAAAACAATAGACATTAAGAGGTTCTTGATGTTTGTATTTTTATCAGTTTTAATATCAAAATTTTTAACTACTAAAAAGGGGCTTATATAGAACAGTTTGAATAGTTATAAAGCCAAATGTTTTGAAATATAGAAGACGAAGATTGCACTATTACTTTAAAATATAATGATAAATTAATGTAATTGATTTTCTTTTAAGTCTGTAAAACTTTTGTACATTAGTAGACTTCTTTAGGCCAAGGAAGAGTTTATAAATTAAGAAAATAAAGATATGTTTTTTTTGATAAAATATTAGCAGATTTTATTTGGAAATTTACTAAAATTTATTGTACCATTTCAACTAAGCTCTAGGCTTGTGCTTGAATATGGTTTACGACAATAGTCTAATGGCGGGATTCGGAACCCCCGACCTCGTGATCGGAAATCCGTACCTTTAACCATTAGGCTATTGGCGTTTATCCATGTGTTAAGCAAATGAGATGGTACTATAAAGGTAACTTACAATGGCAAACACAGATGTGGTAACAGCAGCGGTTTGGACAGCAACCAGCTGTGTGTTGATGGCGCGGTGCAATACCAACACACATAACGATAGCCTCGCAGGCACCTGCCAGCCGCTCCACGCCATCCAACGTCTGAACCAATCTGTCCATCATAATGAAAGAATATAGACTTTCATAAACTATTCTCTGTTCTCTGTCTGTTATGTCTGTATGTATGTGTGTAACTTTGATTGTTTCTTTGTACAATTGAATACCGAGACTAAGTGTCAAATCGTACTTGCACTAGCATTCCGCAGAAGCAGTTTCTTATCATATTTATTTCATCCCTGTCACTGTAATAAGTCTAGTTGTAAAGTTGACTAGATAGACAAAAATCACAGAAGACAGGCGTGAAGTGGAAGCAATTCCGCGTTTCGTCTGATGAGTGTGCGTCCCGGAGGCCTAATTTAGTCCTCTTTCCCTTCCAACCCTTTTTTTATAAGGAAAGAATGGGAAGTGGAAGTGGACTTTCCGGATGAGAGGATGCATGGAAATGCTTTCATTCCTCCGTCGATTTAAAGGTAGGCAACGCATATGTAATTGCGTATGTCTATAGGCAACGGTCACTTGGCTATTTCAGCGATTTCAGGTGGCCGCTCGCTCGTTTGCCACCTTATGATATAAAAAAAAACTTACTGTCAACTTTATCAGTAGAACCGTATAGGAGAAGAGCTGATATCGCTGAGAACATGGGTCTCTCGATGCCAATGTACGTGGCCATGGAAAGACGAGTGGTCCAAGACGATATAATATGGCCACTGAGTACCCAAGCGAGACAAATCGGAACTGCTATGTGATAGAGATGTACTAGCCACTGAAAACAAGGAAGTCTATTAAACGAATACTAAGGTATTTGTAGTCAGTGACAAAAGAGTGAGCAATTTAATTTTACTTAAAATCTTTATGAACAAACCTCATGTTTTATTCGGCAATGTAATTTTGTAAATATTGCAAGATAAAGTTACATGGAAAGATATTGTTATTACTTGTATTTACATACTAGCAATAGAGAATTATAGATACACAAACAGATAGAGAGAAATAACGTTGAGATAGAACGATGATAAAGACGAAGAATGTTTTTTTAACTACAACGGATATGTACTTTATCACGTACCTTAGTATTTGTGATATGATATCCTTGTTCCTTAGCGTATAAATGTAGATGTGCTACAAACAGACCGAGCAGGCAAGCGGGTAGACTACCCCAAGGTGTAGTGTAGAAATACCAAAATGAGGACACGCCCTCAAATGTATTGCGCATCATCCTGAGTAATATTACCAGGAAATCAAAAAGCTGTTTTTCTGAAGAGTATTTTATGCATTTTTCTTAATTTAACTATTTCGATTTGCGCCTGATGCTAGTGAGTAGGCAATATTACGGAATAGTAAATTAGGTCTTGTAAAATTTAAGTACTTTTAAATTACACGAATATAGCATACAATGTTAACCTATTAAAAAGAGAAAGAAGATGTCAACAGACAGACATCTAAAGAAATATTAATTAATAAAAAGACGACTTACTCAGGGGACAATAAGTACATCAGAGATTTCCAATCATAGATGTAAGCTAAGCCAGAGTTAAGGAAGCAGGAGGCGACAAACAACGAACCAATGACGTAGATAGCTCGTCGACGATTGTTAATTAAGATGAGAGTCAAGAAGCAAGCTATTATATGTAGTTGTACATCCACCGCTAAAAACCTGTACGTGAAATAAAACTGATAAGTTTAAAGATCTGAATGGATGTTCAGCAAATCTAGAAGATCTTTAGCAGATCCGGAACAATATTTTTAATTTCCTTGATTTTTTAACGATGGCACACCGTAGTAAAGACTACGGATTGATCTAGAAAGAACATTTACCTTGGAAACAACTACGTCAAAACATAATTCTGTTTGATTTTAATTATGTACGCTTGAATTCACACATATCATTGAACTTTCTTCTCACATATGTATGTGCAGGTTGCATCACGATGTTTTCCTTTACCCTAAGAACGTCGTATAAATGTACACATTTAAATTGGAAATCGAAAAACACATTGGTACATGGCGGGATTCGAACCCAGGACCTACAGATTGAAAGTCAAGTGCTTGAGCCCTGAGCCAACGACGCTCTGGACTTACTGAACTGGATTATTACAGGTACTATGAAATTCGATTATGAGCCAGATGTAACATATCCCTTACCAAGACTGCAGCATACAGTACTTTTCAGGTTCGATCAGATTGTGCACAAAGAAGGCGTGCAACCAGAACTTCTTCCTGCAGACGTCACTCTCTGGTATGACCAAGTCTGACCACAGCGGGCCGTCGCCAGCCAGCCGCCACCAGCTAGCCTTGAAGCCTAACATCAGGAGGTATACTGGAGATATTCTGAAATGTTGAAACATTCAGTATGGTTTATGTCATTTTCAAATATATGTACTTTGTTATTACTACACACATTTTATTCGACTGTTTGGTTGTATACATGTATGGACGTATGTTACCACGTAACTTTGACACGGCTCAACGCATTGGGATGCAATTTCGAGAGAAATAGTTTTTCAATTTTTTTTTACGTGGACTAAGACAGCTAGATGTCATTTCGAATACTCCAGTCTAGTTATATTGTAGTAGTTTCCTGTTTGGTTACCTGAAATCTTTGGCCTAAAGACTTACGATGCAAATTTTATGATGTTTCAGCGTCTGATTGTGGCACTCAGGGAATTATTTGGTTAAATTTAACAATGGTAGAGCCCGCTTTAACATCTTCGCACGAATCGGCCCGGCTCGCCCGGTGAAATGCCACGATCACACAGAAGACAGGCGTGAAGTGAAAGCAATTCCGCGTTTCGTCTGATGAGTGTGCGTCCCGAAGGCCTCATTTAGTCCTCTCTACCTTCCCACCCTTTTTCTCATAAGGAAAGGATGGGAAGTGGAAGTGGACTTTCCGGATGAGAGTATGCATGGAAAGGGAAAATATATTCTTTCTGTGCATCCTCTCCTACGTCGATTAAAGGTAGACAACGCATATGCAATTGCGTGTGTCTATGGGCAAGGGTCACTTAGATATTCAGCGATTTCAGGTGGCCGCTCGTTCGTTTGTCACATTATAATATAAAAAAATAACTTATTATTAAATTGTCAAATACCTTACAATTCTATACAAAATCGACAATGGTAACATAGAGATGCTGACTTTCTTCTTCTGAGAGTATGCTAGCAGCATGTAGGCAAAAAGAAAGTTTGAGATCACCACAAATGCCTGAACTATTGAGGAACCGTTCTTGAAAAATATTGACATCGGATTTTTTTGAGCCTGCAATAAGAAATATTGTACTTTAACAATTACATTGCGTGCCCTTAAAGATATATGCATAAGGTTATGAGATAATAACCCGCAATGTATAATGAAATATTCGAAGGATCGGACACCGTTAACTTACATATTTGCAGCAGTTAATATGTATATGTCCATTTTGGGGGCCTATCACAAAATTTTGCTAAAGTATTCCTAACGTCATCGGCAAAATTTCTATTAGATTTATACAGGGGCGTAAAGTACAACGACAAATCTCATATCTATTTTGTCATAGGCGTTACTATAACGTACATGGAAAACATTCGTGATAGACCCACTTTTGTGTTAACTACGTTCGATCAAGCAACTATAAATCATTCACTTAACACTGGTAAAGTCATATCAAAAGATTTAAAAGTTCAAAAACACTTACGGTTTCGAAGAAAATAGTGTTATTAATATACGTTTTGTAGTTAATTTCAATTACATGACCTATTATCACGAGAACCAGCAAGAGTACCCTGAAAAGATACAATGACTTTGACTGGCTGGCTATTAATTTTACTTTAGCAGTTTACGCAGTTTTACTGCTGTTTCTTCATGACTATTTATTTACCTGGCTCCTTGTATAGGAGACAGCGCGTCTCTAACTGGGTCACTGTCGTCGTATGTACGAACGAGACGACACCAATTCTCTTTTACTGACCAACAACCCAGAATACTGTTCTCTGGAAAAGAAGACTCTACTATAGTTTGTACTACAAAATAAATAATCTATGACCCATTTCTTTTATATCATAAGTGGGCAAACGAGCGAGCGGCCAGCTGAAATCGCTGAAATAGCGAAGCGACCCTTGCCCATTGACATACGCAAGTGCGTACCTTTAATCGACGTAGTAGGGTTGCACAGAAAGAAAAGGTTTTCCTTTCCAATGCATCCTCTCATCCGGAAAGTCCACTTCCACTTCCCATACTTTCGTTATAAGAGAAAGGGTTGGAAGAGAAGTAGGACTAAAATAAGGCCTCCGGAACGCAGTTTGGTACATGGTACTGGTTCTCTAGTAAGAAAATAATTAATCTACAATTTGTTTTTAAATATGCAGTTAACTATTTAAGATCGACAGAAACACATGGACATGCTATAAATAGTATTTTTTACCTATTTTCATCGTTTTGGCGCTGACGTTTATGATTAGTAGTGATGGAGAGGATTTTAACTAATAATTGAGATAGAATTAAATGTCAGTAACATCAAAAGACACGTTGAAGTCGGATCCATCTACAGAAATCAGTAATCAGCTAAACAAAAGCTTTATTGAGACATTTATATACGTTTTGGTAGGAACCTTGGCTCCTGAACTAGGTTTCCCTGTGGTTCAAGAGTCAATTGTTCCGTTTTATACAATATATGATGATTTAATTATCGTTAGGCTTTGAAATTCTGGCCACTATTTAGAAATTTTTAGGTACATGTTAGTATAGATAAGGCTACTTACTTTTATTTCCTACAAATTCAGTAACCACAGTGCCAACGACATTTAAGACCAGTAAAACACCGACTACGAGTCCAAATATTATGTACGGCAGTTTATTATCTTCAAACTTCTTTGCTTGTGTGCTTGTTCGACAGTATTTCAAAGTCTTTAAAGTCGCGTTCATAGATAAACGCTGAGTGCGATCTTGAATACATCTTTCGAAGCGAAGCGTTGCGTTCTTTTCGAAAGACTGGCAGCGAGAGCTGACACAGTAGCCTCGGTGCAATAGTGTATGGTTGAAATTAGTTAAGTTGGATGAATACTCCTGTTGAAAATGAATAGCAAGATTATAAGTTTTTTAAATGAACAATCACTATTTGATTATCGCAGGATTTTTAAATCTTCTCAGACAGGCTAGCATCTATTGAGAAGCAAATAGAGAAAAACCGATTACATACTTTTAAAGAGTCAAACATTGAATTTGGGTCATCAGAGCTGAGTTGAAACGTTCCAAGACAGTAAAGGCCATTTTTTCTTGACAAACATCGCTCGTAATCATCCAAATGGAACAAACGTGGAAACTGATCGATCTGATACTCTGAAATATTAAATAAAACATAAAGTAATTAAATCAAAAAAGTTGATCCTTCGAGTCGGATACAAAAAAGATATGTGTTGGTTTTTTTCCGTGGTAGCAATACTTTTGTAAATAAAGTAACAAGAATAAATATTTTTTAATAATTAACTTTATTTCAATCGCAAATTCGGAATACGGATACGTTAAACACAAAAGATGTTTACGTAATCATGTAATAAAAACACAAACACATTACTTTTTATTTCTATTACTTAAAAATAAATGATCATTCTGTCCGATTTTCAGTGTTGTCTGTTTAAAAATCAATAAATTATAAGGTAAAACATCGATATATAATACATTTCTTTGTTATTATTGTTCACCGTTGGGTCAAATATCAAGAAAATAAAATTTTCCAATTCACTCATCTTTTGGATACAAGATAAATAAAAAAATATTGAATTAACTACCAAGTATCCATGTGAAGCCGGGGTCAACGTCAGTCTACACATAATACAGCTGACAAAGAACGGTTTGTACTTTTGTAAATATAGGTACAGTCGTGGAAATCCGCGATGTTCCACTAACAGCAAAATTACCTAGTTCCTTGCATAGAGGCAAACTCCTCCCTTTTTATAAATAACCATTTAAATAGCAGTATATTGCATAAACGACGGCACAAAAGTAAAAAGCAATTAGTGTACCACTGACCGACTTTTGTTTCTACAGACACATTAAAAATCTGCATCCCATTGGATATTGTTTGATTGAACGTCTGTCGCTTTAAAGGTGGAACACCGCCAGTTACCCTGACTGTACACGTCTTTGTTATGAAACTCAAAAACTAATGGACTGAATTTAAAAATTGTTTCACTGTTAAAAAGCTACTTAATCCCTTAGTGAGACTATTTAATATTGGTTTAAAAAATTTAAAACAAACTACCGAGGTTTGCTATGTTATAGTCGACTCTATTACCTGTTTTTTTCGCAGCAACTGTCACAATAATTAAGAACCACAATATAATAAGAAAAGATGACATTTCGTCCACATCTGTCCACAACACAACACTAAAAGCAAAGATGGCAGTAGCCTCCTGTGTTTCCGAACTTTATATATGAAATATCGTTTTCCACATGGCCACAGCATTTTTTTTATAATTCTAATTTGCAAATTAAAATTAACAAAATTAGTAAACCTTATATTATAATTAAGATTTTATAATGAACGTGCAATACGTTACATTGAGCGTGACCGGTTTCTGCTGACGAAACTCTTGGACAAAACCTATTGTCATCCCTTTCATTTCTTTTAAATAAATAGAGATAGCACATCGTTGGTTTCACTGTCTTTCATTCTCTTTGATAAAAGAGGGACTATAAAAAGTATTAATGCAAGTCTTATGGCTGTATCAACGGTGAGCTTGTGCCTTGTTTTTATGCCAGGAAAATATGTTTAACAAACACATAACTATTTATACCATTTATTTTAATAATAAATTCCACATTTAAAAAGCAAATTAAAAAGGTCTCGATGAAACTTTATTTCAATGTCAGGTAATGACCAATTATGTAACAGTTTTTCAGTTGGCACGTCAGGTAAAAGAGTACTCTTATTCCCGACATGCCAAATGCAAACAAAATTCATTTAAATATATTTTGTTTAAATAATTTATTTTAAACTAGCTATCGCCCGCGACTCCGTGAGAGCGGAATTTAAAAGAAGATATTAGTAGCCTATGCGTTCAAATTTCAACGAGATCCATACAGCCGTCTTGCAATCCAATGCAAACATTCGCATTTATATTAGTAAGAAGTAAGATTAATTAAAAAATATAAATATTCAGAGATATACTACGCTATATAAAGTAGACGCCGATTAAATAAATGATAACATTAATAAAATTAAATTTAAACAGACAATTAAAATTCATTACATATATACTTTGGTTTTAATAAAAACTAATTTAAATAAAGTTTTAATAATAACTATAATATCTATATATAATTACTTTATTATATACTAGAAATTTCCCTAGACTTCGTTCGCGCGGAATTAAAAAGAAAACTGGTAATAAACATAGCCTATCCCGACCGTAAATAGTGTAGCTTCCAGACATTAAAAGATTTTATCAAATCAGTTCAGTAGTTTTAGTCTATTGAATGCAAACTAACAACTCATATATATAACTAGCTGTCGCCCGCGACTCCGTCCGCGCGGGATTAAAAATAGATGTCAGCCGATTTTCAGACCTACTCAATATGCTCACAAAATTTCATGAGAATCGGTCAAGTCGTTTCGGAGGAGTATGGGAACGAAAATTGTGACACGAGAATTTTATATATAAGATTAGTATAGTTATGTTATGCGTTGAATAATAATCAAAAAATAATCTGGTGGTCGTCCATTGTTTGAAATTCAACTACAATTAATTTAAATCAGAACTTTATTATATTTTTGCACTTATTTAATTTATGCGCTTTAATTGCGTCCATTTTTACGTTTATTTGTTCGCGCATTTTCCTTGAAAAAAGGTACAAAATACAAACTACTGCGAATGGATCGCTTACCAAGTGCAATACTACGACCACATATCAGACAGTGTCTTCCGGAGGCTAATTAGATATCCAATTAGTTCTTTCTATCATCTACATCTTGCTTGCTTGCTTGTTCAGCCATAATTCGACCACTGCTGGGCATAGGCCTCCCCCAAAGATCGCGAAGATGACTGGTCTTGTGCTACCTGCATCCAGTAGCTACCGCAACCTTGAACAGATCAATGGTCCATCTTGCGGGAGGCCTGCCCACGCTGCGTTGACCTGTTCCTGGCCGCCGCTCCAGGACTTTGCGGCTCCATCGACCGTCCATTCTGCGGGCAATATTGCCGGCCCATCGCCACTTATGTTTACAATTCTTTCTTCGTCTATATCTATCTAACATATATTAGGACCTATATAGGAGAATTCTAATCTCAAATGTAATAATTGAAAATAATTTAAATGTTATTCGATTGGATTAATTCCCCCTGAGTTATTTAGGTTGAGGTTGAGACCCCTGAGGTTAAATTACTTGATCCAAGTATTACGTGAAAGTAAAAGGCTGTATGAAGTTGAATCATGACACATTTAAAAAAAAACTTTCCAAGTAACTTGGCTGCTCTTAATATGGCGGGAGTCGCTGTTTGGGTAAACACAAGTTTGGGTGTAGCGGAGTGTAGCGTGATGAGGCAGGAGAACACTGGATAATGCGTTATGACCTTGAGCCGCCGAGATATTTGAAAAGACTAATACATAAAGGCTCTTAGCTTAGTCCGTTTCTCTATTATTAAAGTGTAATATAGTTAAAAGGTCATAAGAGTGATTCAAAAGGAACATATATGAGATATTGACCCTTATTTATAAGAGTATAAAGTATAAATTAGGTGTTAAGGAGAAAATCATTCAATTTATCATTATTCCCTGATAATCGTTTGATAAATACTTAAATTAATAAATATGGCGATTGTAACCGGATGCATTTATTTATTCTTTGCTTTGTAGTAGACTAGTTGCTTTTTAGATATTAGAAAAATATACAAAAATGGCGTTTTACGGTAAAGTTTTCGCTGTTGAAAGCCAAGAGAATTACGATGAATTCGTGAAATCTATGGGTATGTATTAGTTATTTAATTTATCAGATATATATAATCTAGATACATACATTTCATAAAGTTATCGAATCATTAACACTATTGAATTGTTAAAATTACTTCAGAAACCTGGCATTAGTCAGATTAACTTACAGTATTGCATCATTTATTCAAACATATTAAACAAACTTCTAACTTAATTAACCACCCAAGATATGTCTAAAGTAACTGTCGCCTACAACTCCGTTTGTGTGTATAAAAAAAAAGAAACTAGCGGCCTATTTGTTTTCCATACTATGTTCGTTTATGCCAAATTTAATCAACAATCATGCATCCGTTCTGGACATACCTACTAACAAACATACATCTATATATCCAAACATTCGTATTTATAATATTAGTGACATAAGAGACAAAAATATTATAGAATTCATATGTAATTACAATAAAGCATCGACATTAATAATATATCCAAGAATAGGTTCTACAAGTGGTCTCCTATCAGTCAAGTTTTGACATTGAACATTCTAAGTGGTTTTAAGTGATTAACTTCTTTGCTTAATATATTTATCTATACTAGCTGTCGCCTATGAATCGTCCGCGCGGAATTAAAAAAACTAAATAAGTAGCCTATGTGTAGTGTATGTGTTCTTCCAGATTATGTTCTATATATGTGTCAAATTTCAGCAAGATCCCTACAGCCGTTCTGGCGATACCTTCATACATGCATCCAGACATTCGCATTTATAATATTAATAAGTTAAAGGGTGTGAGAGCTGGGCCGTCTTAACATTGGCTGAACCCCGGGGCGCTAGCCAAAGGAACTATTACTTTTAGGTGGCCTGAATTTCCTTTGCGTAAATATTATTAACTTCTACCTATGCGTCAGGATGATGTTTTTTTGTCAAAACCAACGGAGTGCATTATTTTGTACAATTTAACAAATATTTCTTGGCTTCAGGTCTTCCAGAGGAAAAGGCAAAAAGTCTATTAGAGTACAAGCCAAGCCAGAAAATTGAGAAGAACGGAGATGAATACACTTTTACTGTGTACACGAAGAATGGAGACAAAGTGTACAAGGCCAAATCTGGTGTAGAGTTCGCTGACACGTTTAGAGACCTACCTGTAAGTTTCTATTATTAAACTATGGTCTATAAAAAGAAGATTCTTATTTTTAAATCAATACATACTGTAGATATCTGTAAGTTTGTAAAAATTAAATAAATTTTTATGTGGTCAATAACTGTCTCCGTTGTATAAACATTGACGCCAAGTGATGCTCTGTCGTATCATAAAACTAATAATTTTATAATTTCCACAGATAAGATATGAGTACTTTATTTTAGGTCATAAAAGATAGTAAGCTATGCCCTATTTTATCATTATCCAAAAGGTGTGTCTTGTCAACGAACTTAAATACGTAAAAACATACGCATATTCAGGTCCACGAGGAATTAAAATCGCACTTGGTACTCATATCGCTGTTGCCCGCGACACAGAATTGAAAAAAAAAACTTAACAAATAGCGGTTGTGTTCTTCCAGATTATGTTCTATATCTGTACGCAACTTCAGCGAGATAAACTGAGCCGTTTTAAAGATTCATTAGACCTTTAAACAAAGATCCATTCATCCATACCACCTGTTCCGTACTACTGCACTACCGCCGGAGAAGCAGCGCGGGGTCCCTTCCAGACCTCACCCGCCGCCCCACGCTCCCTCACTCCGCGACCTTCAGTTGCGCTTCAGCACTCCGCGCGCCGCCACATCAATTATATTTGTCTATTTTGTACATCTTTCATCGTATTACAATCATCAGCATCCAACCAGTCTTTCATTACAACATACAGTCCACTCGCTCAACACCACCAAAATTCGCATCTTTAATATTTCAATTCAGGTCATTCAATTTGCAGGTCAAAATCACATTCAACGTAGATGGAAGTAAAGTGACGCAAATAATCAAATTCGATATCGGTTTCACTCTTACCATCAAGAAAGAATACTCCGATGACACACTTAACGAGGTAAAATAAAAAAAATCATCTACCTGCACCTTATTTGATCCTAACTGTCGTCCGCAACTCTCTCCTAGAAGTATTAAAATACAAATTAGCACCTTATGTGTTCTTCCAGATTATGTTCCATATCTATGCCAAATTTCAGCAAGATCCGTACAGTCGTTCTGGAGATAGGTTCAAAGAAACATCCATACATCCAGACATTTGCATTCATAATATTAGTAAGATAGAGTGGCGCTAGCCAAAGCACGAATTTCTTCTAGTTAGCAAGCTAATTTATCTGTGCCAGGATCATGGCAAATAAATATCCTTAAAATCTCTCAATAGTATTAGGTTTGAGTGCTTATAGAACGAAGTTATACAAAACAAATTTATAATTCTACAAAATTTTCTATTTCAGGAAATTTCCCATAGCTTGTGGGATGGTGTTGCCAAAAAGGTTTACAAGGCTCTATAAACTATGTAAATTAAATAAAGTTTGGTAATTATTACAAGACACAAATAGTTATCCACGTACATGACAATTTATTTTAGTTTTTTTTTTAATAAATGATAAAAACAATAAAGTATTTTATTTATATCTTTCCATAATAACTAAACCATGACTCTAAGAGAAGAAAATATAAAAGATAGAAAGAATAAGGCTCTTATGAAACTCAATCATATACTGCTCCGATATATGCTTTGTTCGTTTGAATATATTGGAAAGAAAAATTAAAGGGACTTACGAAATTTATTTTTATAGTAGAATGCAACATACGAGCAAGTGACCACTTGATTTCAAAAACCTGCTGACCATAGGAATTTGGAAGAAGTTAAAATTTTACAGATGCGTTACGTAATTTAAATGGACAGAATAGAGGAATAGAAAAGGAATATTTCTACACGTCTTTTTCCCAGCAAATTTACTTTCTCCCTTTCTCTCTTGAAGTAGGATATGGTTAGGAACCAGAATGGAAGAAGAATTATATATCTGATATACAAACGCGAAATTATTTCCACTATCTTCTGTGTATACACGAAGAAAAGAGACAGAGTGTTCACGGCTTGTAGCTGTTTTCTATAAACGTAGTATTGCATCGATGAAGTGAGCGGACTCTACCGCTGTTATTTATTATTTAAAATTCCTTAAAGGCAAAAGTAAAACATAATATTTGTAGTTAATTAACTTGTGACGTCATTAGACCAATTCGGATGACGAAAACTTCGGCATTCGGAAAAATCGGCATTTCTTGAGTTGGATAAGATAAGTAAGATGTAGAACTATGACTTTCCAATTCAGATATACTTAGATTAAGTATATTGCTATTCCTCTCATTATTTTGTGGTACGATAGGGATAACATATGTTTTCTTACAGATGTTTCATTAGTGGAAACAGACGGTAATAATTTATCATCATCGTCTCACTATACGTCCATACTGTGAAGCTTGGCGCCTACGCTAAGTTAACGGTGACTAGGTCATTAACCACGCTGCCCCAGTCCGGATTGACTTTACACATATATCTTTGAATTTCTTTGCAGGTACGCGCACCATCACGATGTTTTCCTTCTCCGTAAGAACGTTGGATAAATGTATTATACATATGTAAATTGAACATTGGTACATAGTGGGATTCGAACCCAGGACCTGCAAATTACAAGTCAAATCCTTAACCTCTGAGCTACATACCTTCTTATAATGCTAATAATTCACTAGTGGAAAAGGTGACTTCATTAATTATCTTATCTACATATTAATACGAATCTGAAGATAATCAAGAAAAGGACTCTGTACTTTGTATTGTCAAGGCTAAATAATATTTGTAATGCTATAATGATACGAGCAATTTAATAAACTTTAGGTTATGTTCAAGGTAAAATTTTAAACCTAATGACTCATTTTTATATTAAAAAAATAACGAGTCACTTTATTATCGTGATTAATTAGTAATTTGTAATAACTTATTATCTATACATTATCTAAGACAACATAAAAAATGAGGATCATGTATTTATGACTAATATCACACCTTTTTTTTCCAGAGAGGAATGCTTTATGCATACTCCTCGCCCCGGGGGGAACGCGGTAGTTAAGTGGGATTCTGCTCCATAGCGGAGGCATACCCATTAAACCTCTCTGTTCCTCCAACGCATCGGGACGGGGCCACGGGCACGATTTCGCTCTCGTCCGCGACCGACTAATATCACACTTAACACCTAGTTCAAATGATCATGAGAATTTTATGTGTGCAAAAATTTTGTTGTACATAATCTCCTTAGAGGTATATACACTTAGGCTATGCCTTTATAAACAAAAAAAAACTTTTTTATTTTTATTTTAAAACGCCTTTTCAGTGTACCATATTAAGTTTTTTTAAATCCACGAGAATGGAGTCGCGTACAGCAGCTAGTCCTTTATAAAAGTATACTGAAAATACACAATACTGCAAGAAAGTGAACGTGGCGTGAGTTGTTACTAAAAACTTTGTTCAATAAACGTTTTAAATTTATTTAAACTTATTAAACTAGCTGTACCCGCGACTTCGTACGCGTGAAATACAGTATTTGAGTTGCGCGCGGTACTGGGACATTACAACGTTACTTTATTTGTGGTATAAGATTTGATAATTTCATTCACTATATTATAAACTATACTTTTCCTTTATTGCATATATTTACAAATATTACTAATATGAATAAAACGAGTCTTAAATATTAAATAAAATATTATAAACAAACTAGCTGTCGCCCGCCATTCCGTCCGTGCGAAATTTAAAAAAAAACTATTAGTCGCAGCGTAATGCTATATAACCTACCGCTTTCCTCTATAAATTGATTATCCATCAAAAAAATAATTTTTCATATCGGACCCATAGTTCTTGAGATTAGCGTGTTTAAACAAACAAACTCTTCCACTTTATAATATTAGTCCAGATTATTAACTAAGATAAATTATTTAAAAAAAAAACTTGTTCTAAAATAAAAGATTTTTTCTAAAGCAATGTAGCCTAAGTTACTCTTTATAACATCAGCTACCTGCGAATAAAAGTCCCGTCGAAATCGATCCAGCCATTCCAGTGATTACTCGAAACAAACAGACAGACAAAAATGTTATTGTAGTGTATGTGCCGAATATATATTAATATGCATGTAGTAAATAGTGGTTTTTTCAATATTACAAACAGACACTTCAATTTTATTTATATGTATAAATTTTTAACACATTATGGACACACCTGTAAATAAGATAATTCGCGTGGATATATAATTCGCGCTACCATTTTGATATCTATATCAAAGAGTTTATATAGCCCAGTTATCGACAATTTCATTTATTGCTTCTTCAAATTCCGTACGAAGTTTACTCGCTAAAAAAAATAAAAAAATGGCGTTCGAAGGCAAAGTCTACGTACACGATAGAGACGAGAATTTCGAAGGTTTTGTTGCTACTTTAGGTATGTATATTGAAATTTAATCACTCCCAATCTTCTACTCTATCTCGGTTAGGATTATATTTGAATTTACTTGGCTAAAGCGGTACAAATACCTCTCGTAAGCCATGTTCTTTACGTGGCTTATGAGAGGGTAAAAGACTGGATCGTAGTCATGATGTTACAAAATCGTCGGGCTACCTTTTTACCAGACTTATAATAAAATGTGAATATACTAGTAATAAAACGTTTTGTACCAATCAAAAATCTATATATATAAAAGAAAGTCGTGTTAGTTACACTATTTATAACTCAAGAACGACTTTACCGATATGCCTGAAAATTGGTGAGGAGGTAGCTTAGGGCCGGGAGACGGACATAGGATACTATTTATTCATTTTTTCTTCGAATTTATACCTTGAAGAGCTGGTTTTTATTTAACTTACTAATATAAATGCGAATGTTTAGATGGATGTGATATGGATGGATGAATGGGTGGGCTACACTAATTCAGTTTTTTTATATATCCACTATGTATTGTCTAACCAATGCTTTTATATTAATCAATAATCATATCGATATCTTAAATGTTTTATCAATATTATTAGTATATATTATTGCTTCGTGTGAGACTAAATGTTGATTTGTAATAGATAAAGATTATTGCAAGTCTTATTTTCTCTTATCTAAAGATATTAATTCCGCGTATTTTCCACTTTAACATTCATCTAACCTTTTAAAATCATATTTTTTCTATGTATTTCATTTGAAGTATAATAAGGTTACGTAGAACATTCTCGACAAAACATTAACGTGGTTTATTGGCATCGTATCTTTTTAATTAATATCATATATAATTATGCAAGGATGCCAATTAAATCCATTATCCATCTCAAATTGCAGCGAGATCCCTTGAGCCGTTCTGGATATAATTTCTAACAAACATACATTCAAACATTCGGATTTATTATTAGTATGTTTGTGATAAGTAGATTATTCTAGAAAAAAATGACTCGTAATTAAATTACAGTGGGTTTTGATGAGTGGTCCACATCAAACTCTGGTTCTAAATATAAGTTTTAGAACATACTAGGTGTATGTTGTATGTATATAAAATGCAGCTCTTCAAGGCATTAATTCGAAAAAAATAAAGAAAATATAGTGAAAAATGAAATTCTATGTCCGTCTCCTTTCTCTAAGCTACCTCCTCACCAATTTTCAGGCATATCGGTAAAGCCGTTCTTGAGTTATAGTGTAACTAACACGTCTTTCTTTTATATATATATAGAATACTAGCGGACCCGACAGACGTTGTCCTGTCTACACGTCTTTAATTTGAATAAATTAATATGTAGTTAATATTTGATGAAAATTGTGAATCTAAACCATTCCCAGATCCCCTTGAACACACACAAAAAAATTCATCAAAATCGGTCCAGTCGTTTGAGAGAAGTTCAGTGACATACACACTCACAGAAGATATATATATAAAGATGAACATATGCAGGGAATTAATTAAAACCTATTAGCTTTTATCCATTTATTAGTCGATTCTGTGTCGTTAGGTTAAAATCTCATATCCATAGTTTTGAAATAATAAAAATTTTCAATATTAACTTTGACAATAGATTACTAAAATAATGAAATACTTCTAGGCTTAACTGAGGATAAACTGGAAAAACTAAAGAACTACAAGCCCAAGTTCAAATTGGAGAAGAATGGAGATACTTACACTATGACGTCATTCTCTGACAGTCGCAACAATGTCGTCACTTTCAAACTCAACGAGGAGTTTGACGAAGCGGTGATGGACGGCCGTGCTGTAAGTATTAAAGTCTTGTAGTTCTGACTGCTCTGACTCTAATTGCTATATAGATTTAATTAAAAAAATGAGAATTTAACATACTGTCGCCTGCGACTCCATCCGCCGAAAATAAAGAAAAAAACTTAATTCGTAGTCTATGTGTTCTTCCAGGCTACGTTCTACATCTGTGTCATTCTGGAGATACCTTCAAACATCTATCCATCCATCTAAACATTCGTATATATAATATTAGTAAGATCTTTCACTGGCTAACAATGTCATTCATTTTCTATGGTTTTATTTTTAAATATTTCACGCTAAACAAACCAACAGGTTACCCTAGTTCGGTTCTTGGTTTACTATTCTTCAGATAATATTGTTTTGTAGACCTCATTGAACTTGTTATAATTAATTTTATGCCTTTTTCAGGCAAAGACAACCTTCACTCTGGATGGTAACACCCTTACGCAAGTCCAGAAGTTCGAAATCGGCACCATAACAACAAAGAGAGAGTTCTTTGATGACAAATTGATCGCGGTAAGTTTTTTTTATCTTTTTATATTTTGATTGAGACCTTTTACTACTGTCCAATATTATTTTATTTAAAAAGTTATTCTTATGAACTCCTGTCTTAATAATAATAGCAAATAAACATATCTAAATATTTCAATGGACAAAAGTATCAGGAAAATTAATAACGTTCCATCGAACGTGTCTAAGGTGTTTCATAAAAGGATCTATGACTTTTTGCTTAAGACTGCCGAGATCATATTCATCGGAAATTTATTTTAAACATAAAGAAGATTCAAAAACACAAAAAATGAATGTTAATTTTAAAATTATACGTCTATATAAATGTTTTTTTTTTATTATTTTTTCAGACAATTAACAGAAGTGGCTGGGATGGTACTGCCGTCAGATACTACAAAGCTTAATGATTATGAAATGAATTTAATCCATAATTTATTTTTATTCTAATTTTTTTGTAATTAAATTTTCCAAATTATACACATGCAAAACTTTTTATTTCTTTCACCCTTAATAAATCTCGGGCCTACTCAAGACTGTGTAAATAATAAATAGATAATCATGAAAATAATTTAATAGAATAGTTAGCTGCTATTTTACAATTTACGAAATTAAAATATGACATGTTTATTTGCGAAGTTCAACTGCCGTAATTACAATACTGTAGTCACTGAGTATGTTCCCTTTGGTATGGATTTTGTAGAAATAATACCATTTAAACTATAATAATTTATTCGATTTATTGAAAAATGTGCAAGTAATTGACATTAGACATAGACAAGAACAAGAAGAGATGACGTCACGTCAGTGCTGCCACAAAAAGAACAACTAAAGTGATTAGGCGTTGTTTAAACCATGATACTATGTGCGGATGGGAAGTGGAAGTAGATTTTCCAGTATGAGGACATGAATGAGAAGGGAAAATATTATCTTTCTGTGCATCATCTTCGATTAAAGGTAGGTAACGCATCTGCAAGTACGTATGTCTATGGGCAACGATCGTCTCGCTATTTCAGCGATTTCAGTATATCTAGACAAGACTAAGATTCCATAAGCCACGTGAAATCGTCTGTTCCACAGATTTTTGAAATTCGTTATGGAATCGCTTCGTAACGAATGCACTTTGTCAAGCCCACTGGTGGGTTCGCTCGTTTGCCACATTATGATATAAAAAAAACCATGATAATAGAAATGCAAGTGTGACATATTTCTAAAATTGCATTTTCCTCGTGTACTTACTGCAATTTTAAGCAGAGCGTGAACCTCGGACATTATAACCGGTCCAGACTACGGTTCTGACGTAATCGATGTTTCGCTTGCGACAGCGTTAGCGCTTAGTGATGTCTATTTACGTTCGTTCACTTCATTCATCATTCATTCCTACTGTCATTCATCGATAAATTTCCTTCCGGTTTCAAATCTGATTCCTGCCTCAAATATATTCATTTGTAGGATAAATTACTAACATTATAAATACGAATGTTTGGATGTATGGATGCATGTATTGGATAGCTGTTTGGGTGAATGGATGTTTGTTAGATGGATGGATGCCGATCAAATTTTGCAAAGATCTAGAACATATAGTAGGCTACTAATATTTTTTTTCCCACTCCACGCAGACGGAGTCATGGGCGCCAGTTACTTAATTAATATAAACACAACTTTACAAACGAATAGCAGTGGATTTAATCATTTTATTGTATTTAAAAAAAAAGTAAAAAATACGTTTTTTTAAATCTATTAATTTCGACGTTATTGTTTACGCTGGTACAACTAGATGTGTTGGGCTATGAAAACCAGTTATACAGCGACGGAATTCAAAAATTGGAACAATTTGAAACTGGATGACCTACTTTTTTCTTTCTTTTTATATTCCAAGCATAGATTTAAACCTTTACATATATTATCATACAAGTTTGACTTCTTATCTAGAATCAATTTTTGAAATGTAATTATGTACTGTAAATTTTAAGCACAGAGGTAATTTACCCCAAAACAAAGGTCATTTTTCACCTTTCTTTTATAATCCGAATTAGGTATATACAGATTAAATAATAAATACTGTTATTTATTCATGGATAATATATTATTATGTAAATATCGGTAGTTTTTATGAAAAATATTTTTATTGAATTATTAGTAAAAAAAAATATTTAATAAATTAAGTCCGCTGTTTATAGCCGGTTTAATGGCCCGACGGAGAAAGGGAAATGCTCGCGGGTTATGCGGTACTGATTATTGTTGCATATTATGCTTTAATAATTTTATGGTGTGTTATGTAAGACAAATAAATTAATATAAATATTTAGTCATAATTATAAGGAAGCATTTATATTACGTCTATGATTATTCTTCTTCTTCGTCGCAGTCTTTTCAGACTGGTCGTGGTCAATTATCAGTGACCGGCTCCATGAGACGTCGCCACTCCTCCCTCGCTGCCTTTTTAGCCGCTCTGTTTTTTGACGAAACATCTATGATTTGTTAGGAAGATAATCCGAAAATGTGGCAGTTAATTGACGCAACTCAAGCCCTACTTTTTTATATCATTAGGTGGCAAACGAGCGAGCGGCCACCTGAAATCACTGAAATAGCGAAGTGACCGTTGCCAATAGACATACGAAATTCCATATGCGTTGCCTACCTTTGATCGACGGAGGAGAGGATGCAATGAAAGATAAAATATTTTCCCTTTCCATGCATCCTCTCATCCGGAAAGTCCACTTTCACTTCCCGTCTTTTCCTTATAACAAAAAGTGTGGGAAGGGAAAGAGGACTAAATTAGGCCTCCGGGACGCACGCTCATCAGACGAAACGCGGAATTGCTTCCACTTCACGCCTGTCTTCTGTGTGGTCGTGGTATTTCACCGGGCGAGCCGGGCTAATTCGTGCGAAGATGTTAAAGCGGGCTCTACCACTGTTAAATGCTAACACTCTACTAATATGTCAACGTTTATGTCCCCTTACAATTTATTTTGACACTGGACTTTGTAACGAAAGCACGTCATTCGCGCCAAATGATTCTAATTAATACCGTCTAAAAGATTATAGATAGGGGATAATTAAAAAAAAACTTGGCTCCCCAAAGTTTTGGTCACATAGGTCAATATCTAAATCCAGTAGCATGGCTATCCAAAGGTTATGTATATATTTAAGTAAATAAAGGCTAGGTATTAGTAATCCAAAATTCTTACATAATTACCTCTCAGTCGTTAAATAAACAATTTCAACATTTTGCGCAATATCAATCATTTTGCAGGTTACAAAAGTTAAAGTTCATGTAAGACATATATGAAATAAAAGAGTTATTTGGTAAATGATAAAAAAGCCCGTGAACCTAAGTATTTGTTATTAATCATAAAACTTTTACAAAATTTATTTCTACGATTGTTTCTACATTATATTTCTGTTCTGTTATAGTGTGTCTATTTAAAATAGATTTGACAACTGACGCCTATAAAATATCGAATTAATTTTCTATGAGCATTAATGTTGTACTTAATGGACGGTTGTTATACGTCAAACCGTGGCGCACAACGAGTAACTGTAAACTATCGGAAATCGGTCTTATAATAAAATTAATCAAAGAAATGGGTAATATAGTTTATGTATTTTAAAACTTTTTAAATTTATTAGAGTTAATTGGCTATCTAACGCATAATTACTAAAAAAAAATCTTTTCTGTTCGTCAACAACGTTTGCTTTAATGTTTTATTTCTTTATGTCGTTATGAAGGATAAAGTAGGTATAGAAAGAAACATATTTATTTATATTGTAATTCAAAAACAATAATCCCGAAATTTTCGATTGTAAGTTCTTTAAGAACAACCATCGAAATTCGATTATATTCTTAATCGATTTTATTCAACCCATATCTAGTGAATTAGTTATTAGAACTAGGTCGTCGGTGGCTCAGGGGTCAAGCACTTGACTTGCAATCTGCAGGTCCTGGGTTCAAATCCCGCCATGTACCAATGTGTTTTTCGATTTCTGATTTACATATGTACATTTATCTGACGTTCTTACGGCGAAGGAAAACATCGTGATGCAACCTGCACATGTCTGAGAGCGGGTTCAAAGATATGTGAGAAGTCAACCAACCCGCATTTGGCCAGCGTGGTTGACTATGACCTAATCACCCTTAATTTAGGGTAGGCTCCGAGCCCCTCGGTGGGGACGTATAGTGAGCTGATGATATCTAGTGAATTGTCAAACTAATCTATCTTAAATAGACACACTATAGCCTAGTATAGTGTGTATCTGTCCTTTTAACTTAATTCTTTTGTGTGTGTTTTTTTTTAATTTAGTTTTAAATTAACAACTGTGAAACAAAATTTACATGCTGGATTTTGTCGGAATTACCGTCGATTTTTACCTTCTTTCCATTTTGATTCATTTCCTTAACCTTCTAACTTAAATGATTAATTTTTCACTGATAGTGCCTCAATAATAGCATTATAATGCAATGAATATAATTAATTAATTTTACGAGATAAATTCAAAGAAAATAACCTTATAAAATTTTACAACATTAACTAAAAAACCTTTATATTAATCTTCTATATAAAATATTTAGTAATTTGACAACATTGTGGTAGATATTGTGAAAGGCAAAGGCATCAAATGGTGGTGGAATGAACTATCGTCCAGTCAGCGCCATGTCGCCGCGAGTGGTCATCGTTCTTGTGATTCTCGTCGTTGCTTTTGCCGACGGTCAAAATGAAATCTATCAACTTACTGGTACGAAGTGGATGTATTTTTTATTTAAAAAAAAAAGTTTAGTAATCTGGCTGAATGGTAACGCGGTGTGATTAATTTTTTTTTTGGTATAGGTTAATGGTGTATCATCTGTGGTAAAGGAATGTTTTGGCGCGCTTTTTAATGTTTTTTTTTTAATTTAATGCTTTATAGTTTATTTTTTATGTACTGGTAAGGTTTACATTTGCATAATTCAAAATTATTTTAAACCCTATATAAAATTGTACCTTTTGAATATTGGTTAAAAAAAAAACAATCTTTTAGATAACAATTATTATACTATTCGCATAATCGTAATTTACAAATTTTACATTTATTTTAATCCTTTCAAAAAACTTCAACACGTACAAATAGGCTTACGAAATTCAACCTAAATAGTATAAGTAGTTTGCGAATTAATTATCTGTTATTTATATGTCAATCTAATTGTACAAAACTAAAACAAAATGGCAGATGGAAAAAACATTTAAAACATTGTTCTTTATAAGGAAAAACTACGTCATGTGTACGAAACATGTTTTTTAGATATGATATAGAGACATTTCAATATAAAAATCGTAAAAATAGATGAAGGATCTGAAGCATTTATTTAATTTTTACTTGATAAAAAAGATTGCAATAAATCTTTTTAAATGGCAACTTTCCTCTCTATTATTATATTATAGCTATCGCTGGAAACTCTATTCGTATGGAATTAAAAAATAATAATAAGTAGCCTATGTGTTCTAAAAAAAATAAGTAGCGTGAATATGTTTTACATGTGTGCGAAATTTCATCAAAACCCGTTCAGCTATTCCGGAAATAACTTCAAACAAATATCTATTCATCTATAATTTGGCATTTATAATGGTAGCAAGATATATTTTTATATCTAACTAGCTGTCGCCCGCGACACTGTCCGCGTGGATATATAAAAAATAATTAAATGACGATTGATCAGTTATCGACCGGAGATGAAAAATGATTGAATTGATAGAAAGGTGAAAATTAAGGATTGTCCGTATTTTTCTATGTTGTGTCATAAAAAAATAAATTTAGGGGTGGAACCCTTAACATTTAGGGGGATGAAAAATAGATGTTAGCAGATTCTCAGACCTACTCAATATGCTAACAAAATTTCATGAGAATCGGTCAAGCCGTTTCGGAGGAGTATGGGAACGAAAATTGTGACACGAGAATTTTATATATAAAATAATGATTCATTCATACATATATTAGTATATCCATACTTTTATGGTAACAAACAAACATACCAAAACTAAGAGAATGCATTCTTCGCCATTGAAGTGGCTTTTCATTTAAATATCATCGTAATGTTCTTTGTTTTTAGCATTGTTTTATTGTGTTTGAATGGCTTCACGCACCACAATAGCTAGTAAGGAAATCTTTAAAGTAGATATGTTAGCTCCCCTTTGTGATATCCGGGGGGAAATCTTTGAATAGGCATTCAGGCAGTAGCCTGCTGGAGGAAGATAGTAACTAAACTCACTCGGTGACCAGCTTCGAGTGCCATTGTGAGTTCTGTTATCTCCAAAGAACGCACCAGAAAACTCACTTTACTACACAGGACAGAACTGCCCGTATGTTACTGCCTTAGACATAGGATTGTTTTTTTTTTTTTAATAAAATCAATGTCAAGGGCTTCGAAATAGATCTTGCTCTAATTTCTATATTAATTTCATCAGACTTTTATAAAACCTCTTTTGATTCTGGGCGTGATTTGTGTTTTGTTTTTATCTTCCAGTATTGAAATATGTTTAAAGTAATAAAACCGTTGTATAAACCCAATTTATTTATATAAAGGAGGTCAATATGAGTTAATAATGACACATTTCGTTTAAAATTACAAAATTTAGGTAAAGTTTTCAATCAGATTGGAGACGGTATATCCAGGGCACCTCATGTTGCGCAATACAGTTTCTACGGTATGTTTGTTTAAATAATTTGATGTTGTATTTTGAAGATCTAGGTTTATATAATAGCATCTAGTTAGTCTAGGTAACTCTGCCACACACTACTAAAAGTCGAAACGAATTAAACAATTGATAAAATTACGAGTGCAAAAGACGGATGTCTAATCGTTGGTTTTTAATGCTGACATATATTCAAAAACATATTGTCGCCCTTCATATTATTAAAAAAATAGAAATATCTTGTACAGCGATTACTGTAAGATAACCTACAACAAAAACATAACTCATTTTCGTAACCCAGAGGGGTAGGGAGACCAAGGTCGTCAATTTGGCGCGGTCCTGACACACCTCTCTTGCTTCTTAATACATACATTTAAGCATTCATGTACGTCGATTTTGAGGCCTTTTAATACCGCCCTTCTTGAGAATCATAACTGACAGTATATTACTTATTAACTCCACCATTCGATCAAAGGTGGAAGAGTTAAGAGTAAAATATATTACTGAAAATCTGACAATTTTAGAGAATTGACTTTAACAGTGGTAGAGCCCGCTTTAACATATTCGCACGAATCGGCCCGGCTCGCCCGGTGAAATACCACGACCACACAGAAGACAGGCGTCAAGTGGAAGCTATTCCGCGTTACGTCTGATGAGTCTGCGTCCCGGAGGCCTAATTTAGTCCTCATTCCCTTCCCACCCTTTTTCTTATAAGGAAAGGATGAGAAGTGGAAGTGGACTTTCCGGATGAGAGGATGCATGGGAAGGGAAAATATTTTCTTTCTGTGCATCCTCTCCTCCGTCGATTAAAGGTAGGCAACGCATATGCAATTGTGTATATCTATTGGCAACGGTCACTTCGCTCTTTCAGCGATTTCAGGTGGCCGCTCGCTTGTTTGCCGCTTTATAATATTTAAAAAAAGAACTAATATCCGAACACGCAGAAGAAAACTCGACCACAATAGGAGTTAATATTTATCTGCCACAATTTGTCATCGGCATGCATTATATATTTTTAATTGAAATTTATACGAAATTTTTCCATTATCATTCAATTTCCGTTTGAACTTCAAACAGTATCGGATGTGCATATCAGGAATCAGGACATTGACACCGTATTCTTGTTTTTTAGTCTTTTTATGTTAATAACTATATAAAAATCATATTTATTCTTCAGTGATCCGTTTTACAATCCATCGCCATTCCTCTCTCTGCCTTCTTTCCAAATTTGTGCAAAAAGAAATCACAGCCGTTATATCTGGTCACTATTTCTTATGAGTTATATATTAAGCGATCTTTTCACAGACGAGGAGTACTATAAGATGCCACATCTCTTCCATCTGGACGAGTACGACGGTTGCTTAGCAACAGGAGATGCCTACTGCCTCGGGAGCTTCGAGCTGTCTGCCGATAAGGACAATAAACTCTTCCATACTATGCAGGTGAATAATAAAAGCCATATAAACTTTTTTTTAAATTTAAATATAAAGTTCTTCACGACTAGTTACAAGACTTATCGTGGGTTTCTGACTAAAAAATCTCTGTGTAAAACATATCGCCATCCCTGCTATCTTTTTTTCGTTTTAAACGGAGATCTATCTCTATCTTTTATCTATAAATAAGAGTAGTTTTAGTATCAGCAGTACACACTGAAATTTTGCTAACATAAGATGTCGCCCGCGACACCGTCTGTGCTGAATTAAAATCAAATATAATAAGTAGCCTATGTGAACACCCAGACTATGTTCAATATGTATGCCAAATTTCATCGAGATCCGTTCAGCCGTTCCGAAGACCGAACCTTCAAACAAACATCCATCCATCTAAACATTCACATTTATAATATTAGTAAGATACGTTGATGAATACGTTTTCTAGGTTTATTATACATACGTGTTTGTTGTTCGTTTGTTTTCAACAATCCAAAACAACGGCATATCTTGCTAATATTAGGAAATTAAACTCAGAGAAATACACAATCACTTCCTGAATGTCATGACGTCAGCGTCGATATTTATTTATTATTTTATATTATTAAAAAAAACAAAAAAAAACTAAAGTAAAATGTTACAGTAAACATGTTGTTGCGGAAAATCACCAAAGTGATTGCATCTACGTATGAAATAACATATTAAAAAGTGCTCTTTTCAGAGTCAAGGCCTATTAAATAAACATAACATCGAACTTGGTTGCATAAACAATTGCGTCAGTGAATCACGCCGCGAAATAACATAACCTAACATAACCATTAAACATTGCTACCAACATGAAAAAACATGTAGACAAACAGACCTCCTTGGTGATTAAAAATAATTTAAATGTACTCTAAGCAACTTACATCATAGGCAAAAACTTAGTTTCCTCGAAAGCTGATTAAATTAACTTTTAGCCAAATTAATCAATTAAATACGCCAAAATAGTGAAGCAATTGCTGACCATAATCATCCTTAATTGCCTACCTTTATTCGATTGAGGAGGGGACGCACATAAAAAGGATATATCCCCTTTCCATCTTCTCAATATTAGAAAAGGGTGGGAAGGGGAAGGGGACTAAAATTAGGTCTCCAAGTAGTATTAGTAGCTGTACTACGCTAGTTTTGGTTATTAATTATTTGATGATTTCTAATTTCAATGTAACATAAGAAATATAAAAAAAAATTGTATGTAAAAGATGTAATAAATCTATGCAAAACACAACTTTTTGTTGCTATTTTCTAGGAATATTAAGGTAAGACTAATACTTAATTTTTTTAGTTTGTAAATTAGTCAGTTGCTGTCAGTTTTTTGAATTTCTTTTCTTTTAATTTGATTAACAAAAAACGTCCGCAGAAAATAGTAATTGCAACTGCTTTTCTCTCTATTAGTTTATTATTAAATATCAATTAAAAACTTGGAAACTTTACGTTCGTAATTCTATGTATTTCCTCGATTTCGTACTAGGGACTGTCGAGAGTGAAAGGAGTTAGGGCATTTCGTAGGAGGGAGGGTCAATGACCGCTGTTTCTGTGTCAAGAAGTCACAACGTGATGATGTGATCTTGATTTTTTTTTTAAATAATCGGGGTCAACAAAATTGTTCGCGGCCAGAACTTAGTGTTTTCTTTATGCTTTTGTAACGTATCTACAATATTGTAATGATATTTTGTTTTCATATTTTTTTTATATCATAAGGTGGCAAACGAGAGAGCGGCCATATGTAATCGCTGAAAGAGCGAAGTGACCGTTGCCCATAGACATACGCAATTGCATATGCATTGCTTACCTTTAATCGACGGAGGAGAGGATGTACAGAAAGAAAAATTATTTTCCCTTTCCATGCATCCTCTCATCCGGAAAGTCCACTTCCACTTCCCATCCAAGGGAAAGAGGACTAAATTAGGCCTCCGAGACGCACACTCATTAGAGGTAACGCGGAATTGCTTCCACTGGACGCCTGTCTTCTGTGTGTTCGTGGTATTTCACCGGGCGAGCCGGGACAATTAGTGCGAAAATGTTAAAGCGGGCTCTACCATTGTTGTATCATATTAAAAAATAAGGCATTATCAATGTTGTCTTCGACGTTTTTGATACGAATTACGCTGCCTTGTTAGTATTAACTTAATGCGTAAGCTTTGCGTGTTTTTCTTGTAGTCTTTATTACAACTCAAGAACCTAGTTTCGTGTTTAGTTACTATCAATTAAATTTACATGAACATAATTATTAATAAATAGAACAGTTTAAACACGCATCAATCATTAATCCATTTTCAAAGCAACATACTGAACAACTCTTAAAATATTGATATACAAGTCGAACCAGGATAAACGAGAAACCTTTATAAGCAAAACATTGTCCGGTCCCGAAGGATCACTTCTAAAAGCGAGAAACTCGGGCTATAAGGAAACCATTATGTGAGAGATAAGTGTAAGAGTCCCTTGGACTCTCCCTTATCAAGGTTCGACTGTTCTTACTCTTTGATTGTTCTTATATTACTAGTGTAACTAGCTTACCTAATTTGGTACAAAATTTTGTCACGTTTTTTCGCTTTGTAAAATCATTGTTAATTCTTTTTAATCTTAGAGTGAATTAACAATTACTTAAGTTAAAAACAAACACCCAGTTAGAAGTTAACCGGTCAAAAATTATGTAGGCTGCAAAATCGTTGACCCAGTCCAACACCAGTGAGATAACATCGTGCAATGGTTTACGTAAATCTATAGCATTCTATAGCGGACGAGCTGTGGACGACATGCCGAATTCAGTTATGTAATACATGGGAAAATTAACTAATGTTTTTTTTTGTAAGTTTACGTTGATAACATGCCAATTAATAATTGTACCATTACTTTTAATAGTGTACTGTCGCCCGCGACTCCGTCGCCGTAGGTTTAAAAAAAAAACATAATTAATAGTCTGTGTTCTACCAGACTATGCCAAATTTCATCGCGATCTGTTTAGCTGTACGCATTTGTAATATTTAAATGTTGCTCATACTGTGAACTCATATTGGAATCCCCAAGTTATATAATTTTCAATTGTCATTTCAAACCATTATCACTTTTATAAAATTATTTTAGAAAGCGACCATTACTTGAAATAATATGAACACCATTGTTATGATGTAACTTTAATTTGGTTTCCGCAAACATTTTGGTACACACTGGCTGGTTAGTTTTATTTTTTATTTATTTTTTAAATCTTGATTAAGAACATAGTTTGTTTTTAATAGCGCTACTCGGCTAATTGGGTGGACAACTTCAACCACACGCGACTGCACCGCGGCCTTTGCTTGAAGCGAAGCTGCTCTGAGCACGCTCCACCGCTGCTGACACGCCCCGCAACACACGATGAACTGCAAGCCTGGTATTATATTTCCTTCTAAAATATAAATGTTTTCACATATCTTGGTGGTTCTTACCTTGAACCAGGGCGTAGCGGAATACGGGGGAAAGCACTGACCTGCGCGCTTTTTAGCATATTTTTAAAATGTTTCTTGGTTTAATTTACCCAAAATTGTATTCGCAGCGATTGGTAATTCCGAAGCGTCATAATGTTTGATTGCTGCTGTTAATAAAATATCAAAGATTTTTTTATAATAACGCTAAAACCAGATCCATATAAATTAATTAGTTTAAAAATCCCTAAAGAAAGTTATAGAGAAGAAGTTTGAAATTTTCTTGTTTGACTACGAGAGCATAAGTTATTTTTATATTATGTTATTAAAATATCAAGAAGATAAAGACATTTTCCGTAACTCTACCACAAATATTCTTACATCCTTTCTCATCAATTCTCAGGTTTTCATCATGTGTAAACACAACAATGCAACGTGGCTATAATCTCCGTGCTCGGTTATATCAGCTTGACTACTGTAAGACGAGTGCTGTAAGATCAGGGGGTCCGTTGTCTGCCAGCGAAAAGGGCTTTGCAGCCGCTCTCGCAGCAGTGCTCGCGTTGGCGGTAGTCAGTACTACCCTGGATCTTACGCTGTCCGATGACGCGAAAAAAGGTAAGCAATTTTATTGCCGGAAGGGACACCTGTATAAATAACCATATAAAGTTTAATCGTTGTTATATTATTCAATGAGTTAATTAAATTTCAATTTGAAAAAATTAAGTAACCGATATTAACCATAGATAAATCATAATTATTGTTTATCATATCTGGCACGTTTTAAAATTGACAACATTAATTCCAAAAAAAAAGTTACAAATTCAAATCACGTTCGATAACGGCCAGTGATAAATCGAAGGATTTTTTCGTCCAATATCTGGCACGAGTGGCCGGCGGGCAGTGCAACAACGTTAGATAACCGACGCCGGCCCCGATTGGGAAACGCATATCCGCGCCAATACTATCACAGATTTCTCTATACCACTCCTAATTAGTAGAACTGTGGGCGATAGTATGCTCTATAGTCGCAGCACGTCTGGGATTGTCAATAGTGTATATAAAAAAATGTTTGCAAAAAACGTATTTGGCAAATTCAAAATATTTAAAACGAGTAGAATGCTAGTTTGATGTATGTGTCAATTTTTTTTTTTATTTAATAGCTTCGTTACTGGACCAGAATTTCTGGTTCAGAACCGGTTGCACTACATCTTTTTTTTATTCGTAAACAGCATGTCACATGGTATAAAATACTTATTTATTGTCGTTTTATGTAAGAATAATAAAGAAGATAATGCTTTATCTTCCAGGCGCTGGCTGGGCACTTTCCTGGTCTTTGCGTCAATCATGGCGCACGTTGACAGCGCCTCCTCCTGCCCCAGCTGACTGCGATCTTCGAGCATTCGATGGTCTCCGAGTCTTCTGCATGCTGTGCGTCATCATCGAACACGTCTGTTGGCTCGCCACGTTGTCCTATCTCGCTGATACCAGGTTCACAGAACAGGTGAGGAAGTCTTGGCGTGAATTGCTTAAATGATGCAAGAATATTGGTCTACAAAATGAAGGTACTTTGAATTAATCTTTATAGTAAATACTTATAAACTTGGTGAAGAGATAAGTCAAGGAGAATGACCATTTACAGTGGAAAATATTAAGGCAGACCTATGTCCAGTGTCTTAATAGAAGTTTGTGATGAACTAACTATTGCACGGGACTCCGCCTGCGTGGCGTGGTATTGAAAAAGAACTTAATTGATAGATTAAGTGTTCTTCTAGACTTTGTTCTATAATCTTAAATTGTAATTTTTTTTTTCTCATTGAGGAAGGGGTTAAAAATATTAAATATGGTATAATAAATATAACTTGAGAATTCTTCACAGACTCGTCGCGCAACTGACGTGATGCTGATGACGAACAGCACTCTGGTGGTGCAGATCTTCTTTATCATGTCCAGTTTCCTTCTCTCTCACAAGCTGCTGCAAGATCGGTCCCATGTGCCGCCAATACGGACCTTCATTCAAACAATGTTTAATAGGATTATAAGGTAACATTTGTTTTGTTGTAAAAGCAAGTCCTTATATATACTCGTATTCACCCTTCAGAGTTAGTTTGAGTTTGAGTCCTTTTTCAAGGTGAACTATGAATATACTCGGTGAATGTCTCATGGAAGTTTAAAAATTTAATTGTCCTGTGGTTTGCAGACTTAGTCCGAGTTACTTCGCAGTGGTGTGGTTCGCGGCGAGCTGGTGGCAGCGGCTCGGACACGGACCGCAGTGGGATCCCCTGGTTGGGGCCGAGGCACAGATCTGCAGGAATAAATGGTGGACCCATCTCCTTTATCTCAACAACATCATCTATCCAGATGATAAGTGTCTAATTCAGACTTGGTGAGTAAAGTCTTTGGAACAATTCAAATATTTCTGACTAAACTAGTTGTCGCCCGCGACTCTGTCCAAGAGAAATAAAAAAAAACTTAATTAGTAGCCCATCAGGTTACTTAATAATAACTGATTATCGCCCATATATTCATACGAGATGTGGATAATTCCATCACTGCTAAATTTATAGTTGTATCGAAGAAAAGAATGATTGAATTTCCTATAGTACAATACCCCAAAAGTGTATTGATTTGAAAATATCGATAAATCCTCCTATGAAATTTCAGCTGTAACAGAGCAACTTAGTTCTCTAGTCTAGGCCTAGTCACCCCTAACTTAGGGTAGACACCAAGCCCCCTCACTGATGATGAACTGTTTCTCCATTTGAAGGTACTTAGCGGCGGACACTCAGTTATATGCCTTAGCGTTGGCAATGACACTTCTACTTCGTAACCGCAGAGGAACTACCGTGGTGCTGGCTACTTTACTGCTCATAGCAACCGGAGTTACCTTCGCCCTCGCGTACATCTGGCACCTCGTGCCTACGTTTATAGTGCATAGGCCGGAGTAAGTGAATTTTTGTGAATGGAAACCCGTAACCTTTGTCTTCTTAGACTTGCATGAGTTCTTTTATTTAGATCAGTACGTGCGATATACCACGGAGATGCGTCATTCAACGTGCTGTACCAGTCTCCGCTGGGCAACGCTGTTGGCGCGCTGTGCGGCCTGTTGCTGGCGCATGCGCACCACGCGCTGCGCCGTGCTGGACTGCAGCCACAGAACTGTCAGGTATACCTCGTCAGGTTACTTCGGCAAGGTCAAATCAAAAACTCGTTAAGCTTCTACGTAAACTTAAAAGTAATGGTCAAGCCAAGAGTGGTACGAAGGGGGACAACTGCTGAAGTCACTAATTAAAGAAATATAAGGAATATTTGTAAAAAAAAAGGTACGGACCAAGAGTCTTTTAATGGCGTTTGCAGTATTATTGTGTCCTGAACTCTTAATGTCCTAGTACTCTTTGTAGTATTGTATGTGATGTTTGCAGGTGTTCCGCTGGGTGTCTGTATGCGCAGCTCCGCTGGCGCTGTGGTGGGCGGCGCTGTCTCCGCTGCTGGTGCCAGCGGGCCATCCCCCGCGCGCTGCTGCTGCAGCACTCGCGGCACTCGAGAGACCTGTGTTCGCCCTGCTTGTGATACTGGCATTACTCGGTGCTATCAATGGAGTCAAATGTACAATATTTTCCTTTAAGTTGTCTTCGAATTATGTAAACTTTCTATTATCTTCGTCGTTTTGTGGGTCTTTCTCCTGCATTCTAGGTACTAGGGAAGCATACATACGTCCGCGTACTAGAAAATCTCTTATAATCATCATAAACCATTGTGAAATATGATTCTGACACAGAAGACAGTAGTGACATGGAACCACTGACCGCTTAACCTTATATCTTTGATATTTAAAGTACAAAGTACCAGGGTAACATAACAACTGTGTTGCAGCACCGTGGCGCACGTGGCTGTCGGGTCGCGGCTGGGCGTTTTGCGCGCGGCTGTCGTTTGGCGCGCTACTGCTGCACATGCCTCTCAACAAGGCGTTGCTCGCCTCCAGAATAACTCCCATACAACTCGACAGACAAAACGCTGTGAGTAACATACTCCTTGGCCTAGTGATAACGAAACTAAATCTTATTACAGAGGTTATAAAAGAATATGCCGAAAAGTAAAACGATCTTTCTAGAACTTGATTTCAATTTCATAAATCAGTGTTCAAACGAGATTTTTCTTGTTTTACTTTCAGATATTTGAATGGTTCGGAGTAGCGGCCATATCTTACGCGGCGGCGTTACCACTTGCTTTACTTGTGGAAATACCAGTACAACGGCTGCATCGAGAACTTACAAAATCACGGCAAAAAACAAAGCAAGAACGCCAGGTTGGTGGTCAATCATTTTGCCAAATCTTTTTTTAACTAGTCGACAGTTCTAAGTCGTTATGAGGTCCCATTAGGTGTAAATTTATTGAGAAATTGTTAAAGGTTTCCCGCGCTTTTCTGACATTTATTATCTATGTTCTTGAATTATGTTGGAGACTAGAGTATTCCTTTGTTTTGGTTAGAACCGTCCGTTAACTTTTTCTTTATCCAGTAGGATTTAACATATTATCTTTTCAGCCTCAGCACGTTCAGTTATCCCAGAAGACAGAGAAGACTGATTTGCAATAGTACATAACACAAAAGTGTTGACGAAATAAGCTCAAACATTGATGGTGTCATCAACAGTTTGTAGCATGTGCCATGTAGCCAGCTACATGTTATTGTAAATATATTAATAATTCGGACGAGAATTGTGAATATCACTAACATATAAGGTATTTGTATCCTAATCCAAAATATGGCGAATAAACGTTAAGGTTTATAAATGACGGCCATTACTTGTTTTCATATGTTCATCAGAAATATTATTTTTGAGCGTAAAATTTTATTTGAACTAAGGTTATAGTTATTTGAGAAAGTTTTTTATATCTGGAATTAGGTTCTAGAATTTAGTTTATGAGTAAAAGTGCATCGAAGTATACAATATTTATATTACAGAATTTGATTTGCAACAAGAGATGCATTCATTTGTATGTATAATAGTATTATATTATTAATTTCATGGAATCAACATTCTGATAGCTAAAAAGGTAAGTCGCCACTATCGTAACACCTGTATTAAGAGTTGACATTGCAATCTCTTGAAAAAAGAGAAGTAACATTTCTCTTTTATGCAGGTATCATGACAATTCCAATTTACAGTAAAAATATTTTTTATCAAGAATGTTAATAAGATCATAGAATAAAATTATGCATATTATTTTATTTACATAAGTATATATATATGTGATATATACCTTTTAAATAGGCGCATTTAATTATTATATTAGTATATAACTTTTATATTGGTTATATAAATTAGACGATTGGACTAGTCATAATGTTGGTGAACTGAATTGCTCAATTTAGGTATTATAAGAGCTTAAAAAAAACAAAATGTCACACTTCTAAAAATCTTATTTGTGTGACCATATAATATATGTAATAATTACATATTTTTATCTTAAATACATAATATAAAATGTTATCTTTATTCTCATTTAATTGTGATGTAAGCTGTAGAAACTAGAAAAGTGAAATTTCTAGGGACCGCTAAGGTTTTCTATCTCTATAAGCAGGAAACCTTTGTTGTAGTGAAATCTTCGTCCATTGGAACTCGACAATGACTCTTATTTATAGCGGTTTCTCAGTTAACTAGGTTGAAGTGTATAATTTATAAGAAACTACTTATCTTAGATAATCACATCCTGAATTGTAATTTTAATTCTTCTAATTTTAGTTCTAAGAGTTAACTGTAAAATTTCACATGAATGTTACATGACACTAAATTTATATCTTCATGTTAAAATGTAAATAAAACAAACAATTTCAAAAGTTGTATTTTTATTGAAACTGAATCCTTAATACGACATATTTTATAATACACCACATCAAACCATGAGCAATATCCATGGTAGGCACACTTCAACAACACTTACAATCAGTTTTTTTTTTTCATATATAATAAATTTCTAACTATTGAATGTAGTTGATGATTGACCCTTTACAAAGATTCATGCTTAAATCCAACAGTTTATATTCACTGGCTTAGACAATGGAGTTTCATCATGATAAACTCAAATATCATAACTTCAGTTTCATAGCAAAAGCTACCTGTTCTTGTGATTTAAATTGTTTAACGCTGGTTCCAGAGACTAAAACCTCTGTATAAAACATATCTGCATCCCTATCATCTTTGAAAAAAAAAAACAGAGATAACAATATGGTTTAAACACAGATTTTGATCTCAGAAACTCAAGGTTTAGTCATATTTTCAAATATTAATTAAAAATTTGGCTAATAATCAACATGACTTGAATATTTTCAGTAAAGTTGACTATTTTATTATCATTTTACTCTTCAAGTGTAAAATCATTTATTTCCTACCAGTGAGAATGTAGAAATCACATATCTTATGACTAAAGAATTGGTATAATCTACATAATGTATGAACTAGACAATTTGTCAGCGACGCGAGGGTCCTGAACCACCCTGCCAGCCGCCTCTGTGTCCCCCGCCGCGCCCACTCGCCCGGCCCCGACCCGCAGCTGAAATTTGTAATGGTCAGAAATTTAATATGGCATTATGATCCAGCTACAATTGAATGAAAGTGAAAAATTATTTATTGACATCCAGAAATATAGTGAATTATGCAGGATCCACGCGGAAGATGCAGCCTGTATTGTGAGGATCCAGCTCAGAGACTTTACAAGAAATATTGTTAGATGGCAACATATGGGCATTAAAAAATATTAGAATACACAAGATTTTTTTTTTATAAACGGATAAAAGACAGAAGGCAATTTAGAAGTTAAATTGTTATAACAGCTCTGTAAAGGTAAAAAAATAAACACTTTAGGTGCAACCACATCACCTACTAAGTAGACTTTCAAATCAGGGTACTCAAATAGCTTAGTCATGGTAACTTTTATATGATAAAATTATAGTAGCATCTATTGTTAAATATTGTTCCGTAGTTTATAAAATGAACTGTTATGAAATCCATGGTGCTCTTTCTCTACGAATACCAACCATATGAGTGGAAGAGGAACCATATCAGGGAGATCATGATGTGTCAAAGATAGTTAGGAATTTTTTTCTATCAAGGTGGAGGATAACTCAATAGAAATCATGATCAAGATATAAAATTACATTGCATTTATAATGACAAAATAGGAAATAGTAATATAATAAGTGGTACCTAAAAGGAAACCTATAATTCATCGTTACTCTAAGAATTGAAAATTCATCAAAATATTTTGATGCCAAATTTAAATTTTTAAGCTTAAGCTTAAGTATTTGTGTCCGGTCTTAAATGTATGTAAACAAACATGAATTTACAACAAAACGTTTTGCAAAGCTAACGAGATAATGCGAGTTTTGCAAGAGGTATTGTCACAGTCAATTTATTATTTGAACAAAACTATCAATAGCTGATACAGTTATAGGTTAGTTTGTTTACTAATTTAGCTTCTTATTAAAAATAGGGACATAAATGAGAAAATGTACCTTGTGCCCTTAATATTGCACTTTTACCGCGTCCTGCACTGGGTTTATTGCCTTGTCGTTTGAACATTGGCGCGTTCTTCAACATATCAGGTAATATTAAAAACCTAATCTTAGAACCTCGGATGTAAACATTCTCAAGTTGAGCCACACGACCATCTCGATATGTAACCGTTACCAGGGTCATTTGGCAATTCATATTATCCTCCGCTTCTATAAGCTTTCCTCGGTAAACTTCGCCGGTAATTGTTTCACAAGTAACTACATGACCTTCTGCTTCGTGCAGTACTTTAATAGGAACTCCGATTGACATATTGAATGTTGGTAATTACAATTATTTATAGGAAAATGCACAATCAAAGAAACAAACAAAGATTAAAACCGATTTAAATAAAATTCTTCAAACAAAGCATAAACAACAATGAAAACAAAGATGGCGGAACGAAAGTCGGCATCAGTGTGACCAGATTTAAATTGAACAAATAATCTGTAAAACAACAGATTTTGTAAATTAAATTTAAATCCATGTTATTTACAATTTAATTAAAATTAACTGCCGCAAAGAAAGTGACAAAATGTAAATATAAGGAAATAAAGCTTCTACATAATATAACAATCAGACTCCATTGACATTTCATTTTATGTACACTTTGTGTCACAATCCCACAATTTTTTATCTATGAAAAAGCGCAAAGTTGGAGTTTGCATCAAATATAATTTTATAAGTTTTCAAAAATAATTAAGGTTGTAGTATTTAATAAACAAATTATACGATAACTGTATAATGCTCATTTATTTGTAGCCATAGAAATGGCTACGACAATCATGAAAGTAGAATACGAGAATGAGACGTGTGCTATATGCGGTTCCGCCGGTGATCTGCTTAGCCCTGATGAACACGATGCTGGGGCTCCTCCTCTGCAAGTGCCTTTAAGGTCTATGTTACTCCAGCTTAACAGCCATAAGGTAACTTAACAAGAAACGCGTACTTTTATTTAGAAATGCGTAATTTTAACATATGTTTTTTATGCAGGTTGTTCCGGAAGGTAAACTTTGTATTGAATGCATTCGACGTGCTATAGAATCTTATGAGTTTAGTACAGCTCTGAATGCAAAAGGTGCACCTCCATTAAGTGAAAAGATTCGAGCACTCAGACGCAAATTGCACGAATTGACACAGAAGATTGATGTGTTTATTGTTGTTGGTGGTCCGGGTGTAAACTCCGGTGGTACATATAGTGAGGATGACATTATAATGGTAGAGAAAGATGCACTGGCAGCGGCCGCAGCTGCTGATGATGAAGACCTGGAGCAAGCCAGGAATGCTTGTGGTGAAACTGTTTATCAATGCTCTGTTTGTCCATTATCATTCCAGGTTAGTAAATAACTCAATATGGTGGTTTGGACAATCAAATATTCTCATTTCTAATTATATTCTCTCTTGGTTAAACCAGTGATTCCCGATGTAAACTAACTTGGATCCATGGGAAGACCTAGTGAGGGTTGACCAAGGAAAGAATTAAAGTTGAGCATACAAAAGAAATGTAGCATATTTGAGATTGAATTTATTAAAAACATTATCTGTCATACTACTACGATACTAGATACTTCATATTACCAATTCTAGCGTGCAAGTGAGTACCGCACCCACATCTCACAACATCCTGGTGGTGCACGCCACTCATGCTGGACGTGCGGCGCGCAGTTCGCAACCCGTGCTTCACTCACTGAGCATTCTGCTATGCATGCAGCCCCGGACATTACTAGCTCTACATGCCGTTTGTGTCACTCTAATTTCCAGGTATATTATTTTTATTTCATAGTAACTGTCGCCCGCCGACAAAAAACCTAATAAATAGCCTATTTGTTCTTCCAGACTATGTTCTACACCTGTGTAAAATTTTATTAAAATCCATTGAGCTATTCTGTGTTTCTGCATCTAAACCTTCTCTAATCGTAATCTTAATCACTTTATGGTAGAATATAATCTTTTTTTATATTTGCTTATACTCTTCAACCAATTAGCATTTGGCAAAAGGCACTAAAGACTTAATTATCCAGAGTGCATCGGAGCTCCGTCGTCACGAAGCTACGTGCGAGGCGAGGTGTCCACTATGCAATGTGACTTGTTCTTCCCGCGCCGCGTTATCTGCGCACGCGCAGGCCGCGCATACGACACCTCCGCTGCTCTGTGGGGCATGCTTCCGTACATTCAACACGCGGGAACTGCTCGCTGCGCATAGACTAAGGCATAGACATGCTGATCGATTTGTCTGTGGTTATGATTCTTGTATACTGCGCTTTGCTACCAGGTAAATGAACAATGTAATGTGATAATTTAATTAATAAAAATCAGGGTCACTTTTGAAAGTTGTAAAACTTGATGGCAGCATTTTAAAGTAGTAATAATTTGATTTAAAATTTAATAAGAACTCTATACACTTTCTACATGGTCTATACATCCATACATTTATTTATGTTACAAGAAAACACACTATGTCTAAAATTAGGCACTGTCATTTAATAGTCATCTAGAGAGTTGCTAAGCCTAGCTTTTAAATGAGAAATGTTTATTTCATTAAAATTAATTATTTTAGGAATGACTTGTTGTCGCACATCCGAAAATGCCACAGCAGCGGGGCGGAGTCTGAGGCGGAGCCCGAGCCGCCGGCGCAAAAGCCCGAGCGCAGTACCACTGTCTCGACACCATGTCCACACTGCCCGCGCACGTTAGTTAACAAATTTAACTTAATAGTGAAATAGAGGGGTAGCTCACGGGTTAAGCACTTACAGACTTGTAATCTGCAGATCCTGCATTCAAATCTTGCCACCACCAATGTGTGCTTCAATTTACATTGTCATATTATATTATATGTGGGACTTTCAGGTTCGCGTCAGTGGCGGCCATGAAGCGACATATCCGTGTTCATCGCAATCATCATGCTGAACAAGTTAGTAAAATGTTTTTTTTTTCTATAAAACTGAAAATAATTAAAAATAGTACTGCTTATAAACATATTAGGGTTGTCCTGTCTTAATATAAAATATGTATTAGAGTGGTTTTTCAATAGAATGTTCTAGAATGTATTTTAAATTTTCCAGGAGGGTGCGGAATGGCAGACAGAGGGGGAAGGTGAAGGAGATTTGGACGGCACTGGAGGGGAAGTGGAATATCTGGAGATGGACGCTCTGGATGATATGGATTATGACGATGATAATGATATGGGTTTAAATTGAAACCATCAAATGCCCCTATGATTTAGTGTTAAAGTTGCAACAATCCAAATGGTAAATTTTATTTTGTAGAAGTATTGTTTAATTGTTTCAAATGCGGTAAAACATGTGACTACAGTGGAAAGCCACTGTATAAATATATGTTACTAATGTTGAGAGTTATGCATATTATTAGCTAAGTTTATTTTTTACATAATGTCTAGTTTACATTAATCCAGTACAGTAGCGATGGCACGACATGGCACTGGCAGTTAGTGTGTTCATTAAGCCAGGTGATTTGGAATACTGTCCTACTGTATTAAGATAATATGCCCTCAACGTTCACAGGAAGATCATAAGCGTTAGTGAAAACTGTCGCGAAATGGATGTGGCAACATTTAGAAATACAAAATAAAAAAGTTTAAAAAAAATGGTGGATGAGTCGCTTTTGTTCTTGTGACTTTACATCCCACAGTTCACGGAGATTCGCCCTATTGTGGAGTCATCGTAAGTTAATTTAGCACAAGACATATTTTTGTTATAAAATAAAGTAATAAAATTATACCTATGACTTTTTTGTTTTATTTACCTACTAGCTGTCGCCCAAAATTAAAAAAAAAACATAATTAGTAGCCTATGTGTTCTTCTAGACTATGTTCTTAATCTATGCCAAATTTCTGCAAGATCCATTGCATTATATTAGTATGAAGTATGATTATTTTCTGTTTGTATTATTATAATTTTTAAATAATGATTCAATCAAATTAAACATTACAATTTCAACATTTACTTGTAAAATTTACAAAAATATGAATACCGTTCTTATATAGAATAATTCAATTTTACTAATATTTCTCATAAATTAAACATTTCTAACCGCTGTACTGCCTAAAAATTTACAAACATGTTTCAATTCCAACATAAACAAATACATTTATATCAGATTTATGTATTCCAAAAACAAATGTATATTTTTGTACAAAACATAAAACAAATTTCATATTTATGTTGCAGCTGAATCATAGTCAAAAGGTTATTTGGATTACACATACATATTTATTCGCGATGTTCTGGCAAAGGACATTCCCTGCATATAACAGCGATGCGCCTGCGCCTCGGCAACTTCTCCCCTCTCCATACACTATGTTCGCCTCCCAGCACTGCATGTGTGAACTCATAGCGAGACACGTCCCTATGAAATACACTCAAAGTTATGGTCAATGAAAATCTTAACTAAACTTATGATATTCAGTTTATCAACTTAACTATATACAATTAACATAATACACATCAATCATAAACCGTGGATTTCTGAGAATAAAATATCCATTTAAAACATTGTCTATTTGGTCGAAGGTGCCAATATGTTTGATAAAGAGATTTTGGTCTCGGTAACCAACAGTAAATCAATACATTCTTAGTGATTAGCTACTTTGTATACCTCATAACATAGAGACAGCGTCGTTCAAGCAATGCATCTAACTGTAACTCAGGTCGTGATTCATGAACCAGCCGCATCACTGCACTTGATAGAAGACAAAGTCCAGCTATTGTGTTCCCACAAAACTGAAAATAAAAAATAAAAATGTGTAATATAAATGTATAATGATTATAAATAAAGTCATATATTGATAACTAGCTGTCGCCTGCGACTCCATCCATGTGTAATAGAGATAAAACCTAATTAGTAGCCTTTGTATTCTTCAGTACAGTACAGTTGATTCTTTATTGCAAATCTATTCAAAAATTAATATAAAACTTTGTTTTTGTATCAAAAACCCTTTAGCAGTTATCCTTATATATTGTAAATTTCTACGAACCCTTAACAGTATTAATATGTTTTCCAATATTTATATTACAATACTTACCCGGATGGCATCAATATGAGGTCTGATATATCCCGCAGCTGCTAGGTCCAGTATATGCGCGCGCGGCAGGAGCTGTGCATAAGGTTGAAATGCCATGTCACGTACTCTCTTTAGTACCGCAGCATTCTGTTCGTTCCAAGAGTCACGTTCCGTTTCACGATATCCTTCTATGGCCTATCATTAACACAAAGAAAGGTGTATTTCAGAACACTAAGAAGTTATATAATGAAACAATGAATAATTATATTTTTAACTTATTGTAAACAGAAAATTATTACAATACAATAACGTACATTATCCCAATGATCGTATTCATATCTCAATCTCTTTAGTTGCGGTTCAACTTCTGCTAATAAAGATGCTTCTTCTTCTTCAGATACAAAGTTCGGATAAATTCTCATAGAACTAGTGGCTTTTATGCGCATATTTGCTTCTCCTTCCGGCCATGATGGTAATACTTCTATATAATCAGGATCAGGCGAAGAACCTTGATAAAATATTTTGGTAAATGACCAATTTATTTAAGAATATATTAGTTATGGCAGGTGTAAATTCAGATGTGATAGCTAGCAGAGATGTATGGATCGTACCGATCCTCCATAGGAGCAGGAATATTATGATTCTAGCCAAATAATGTATAGAAGATAAGAATCTTTTACATTTTCAAAATTAAAGTACCTGTTGTTTTTAAATGGTCTGACTTAACTTCGACTGTATCGCTTTTCAATCTTCTTGATATTTTATACGCCAAATTATATTTGAAATGACGAAGTATACTAAAAGTAATCATTCGCATGGTAAATATTATTTAATTAAACATAAAAACTGAATAAATAGAGTTTTTATAAGATTGACATTAACGTTCGGTTTTGTATATCAGCTGATTGTCAATGTCAATTGCAAATGTTTCGACGTTTCTGCGAAATGTTTTTTTATTTTCAATAGCGAAATATTAAATTCTTTTGAGCCAGGTCACTAATCTCTTAATTTATATTTATTTTTGCTCACCACGTACGTAATTTTATGTTTCTACAATCAATATTACTCCTGTTTATATAATAATTATGCACGAATTGGCACGAATTACTGACTTTGTCTTAATGTCCCAAACGACAAAGTAGATGGCGCTGACTGTTTCAAATCAAAAACTTTGTGAAAGAGAACGTTAGTATTATTCAAGATTTTTTCCAAATATTTGTGTGTTTCTAACTTAATTATTACTAGAATTTCGTAACATCAAGAACTAAAGAAGAGAACATGTCGATGTTAGACATTCTCAGGTATGTTTATGAATTCTTTGTCCGACTTAACTACCCTTGCTGTTGTGAATAATTTTTGTACAGTTGTGGCTAACTTGGAGTTTTCAAAATAAATACATTCATTAGAACATTAACTACAATAGAAGTGTTATATTTATAGTCTTTACAGTTATAAATAGCCCTATTCAAGACCGGACACGCGACTTAAGAGCTGACTGAGCAATGTAGATACTAGACTGGCCAATTAGTCTAACCTTTTGATAGGTGAATAACAGAAAGCAGATCGGTCGTGCCCAATTGAATCAGCTGATAAAAAATACCCGGCCTCGTATACAATAGGGCGAGTGGCGCAACTGGTATGTGTTGTGTACATCGTTAAAGATTCGCCTTTCCCCTCATCAATTACAACGCAAATAGCTTTTTTAATGAAATTAGGATCACAAAAGTATTAATAATTCAACTAATTATATGAATAATTTGTAATATTATATGTATTTCTTCGCGATATATTAAATATTCTTAACTGTTATTTTACTACTAAAGTTTTTTATAAATCAAAGTGAACCTTAACTTCACAACTTCTTACACACAATCGTAAAAATAATCTTCGGCTGTTTGTCTATTCCTTGTAATTATGTTCTAATATTATTTGACGTTTAATTTCCCACCAAAAGATTAAAAATGGCGGAGTGTTTTTTAAAAAGACGTCAGTTTTGTGATTAAACGGATACTGATTAAAAAGGATTGCATATAGCTCGTTAATTGGTAGTTCAAATAATTTTTTCTTTGAGACGATTGGCGTATCATAGCAGTCATTACTAGAGGTCGGCTCCCGACTCGTGACTTCCGTAGAGTGATTGCGCAAGCGTTGGGGATCCATTAGATGCGCTTGTAGGGATGTGACACTATCGTGTCGATATATTAAATATTGTTGTCAATTAGTTTACTTTATTAATAAAGTAGCTGTCGACCGCAACCGTTCGCGCGGCATTAAAAATACTAAATAAGTTACATATGTGGTCTTCCAGACTTATTTAGTAATTATATTAGTAAGATATATTATGTATCGCAAAAATAATAGTAAGTATACAGTGCTGCTGTAAAAATTTCTAGTAAATTTTAAACACAGTGAAATCTTACCTTAATTAAAAAAAAGATTTATGGACTATAGAGAAGCATGGATAGTCTTTGAGTTACGTGATACACTAAGTTTTCTGATTCGCACGTTCATCTCTAACCGCATTAGCATGTCGTGCTCGCGTCGCAAACGGAATGCCTCGCGGACAGACAGACACGTTTCTATATACATATTAGTGATGTTCTCTTGGTTGACCTTGGAATTTCTGAACACAATAAATATAAAATATCTATACTTGTATTGACATTACGTAATAGAATTAAATATTAGTACAGTCAACTCTCCTTATTCGCGAGTTCCTCAATCTCCGTATTTACGCCAAAACATCGCAGTTTCAGTATTCGCGGCATATTTCCGCAACTAAACCCTCGTGGATACGGAAGACTGTAATCTAATTAACGAGTATGTAGAAATAATCAAATTAATCTTACTAATGTTATAAATGCGAATGTTTGGATGGATCGATGTGTATTTGTTTGAAGTTATCTCGTCAACGACTCTATGGTTCTCGCTGAAATTGGCATAGAAATAATAACATAGTCTAGAAGAACGCATAGGCTACTATTTAGATTTTTTTAACACCGTGCGGACGGAGTCGCGGAAAACAGCTAGTATATAAATCAGTAACAGACTGAATTCTTTAAAATAATTACAACGAACTACGAATTAATTTAATTATATTACAAAAAACGTTCCGTCTTTTATCAAAAGTTAAAAAACAAGTCTATTTTAAGTCACATCACTAGTATTATTTATTTTAGTCACATCCTGTACATATGGTAGGTTACAGTAAAGTGAAGATATTACACTAAACATTTGAAGAACGTGGATTCTTATTGCAGTATGGTATGTGAATGGACCAACGGGTTTTGTTAACGGGATTACGTTGGCTGATCAGTATTAAATTGGCTTGTCACCAAGAGGACAAGTAGCTTAGTAATATTTTACTTTTACGGGACAAATAGATTACATACCAGTAATCAATATTTAAGGTACGCGACGGTACAGTCAGCAACAAATTTTGAGTTTGCTTTGTATGATTTTACATAGCGTTGCGTCCGTTACTAAGCTAGCTATTACCATCTTTGCTCACATAATCACTTTCATCAGGTGGGATCCTGGTCAAGCGTTAGCTTATTCAATGTAAAAAAAATATCCAGGCCGACCTCATTAACAGACGGCGTTTATCAACAAGCAATCTGTTGCATTCTGTGTGTGCGGTGCGTTTGACGCGAGCCAATGAACGAGTATCTTTAATCCCCTTCTTAAAGAAACGACCCGAGCGACTTTGGCTGTGCTCGGCTATTGTTTATTTAAATGCGTCAGTGGAAATGCTTTAAAATTACTTATATAAGTCGCAAGTGACCTGAGTCGCTTGGTTGGTAGGACTATCATAAAAAAAAAATTAGGGGAACCCCGAGCCTACATTGCACGGTGTCGTCTCTGAAGGGCTCCTCAATGCGCCCCATTGGGGGCGCATTGAGGAGCCCTATTCTCTTGCTGGTCAGTGGGGCGTCGCGGTGGTAAGTTAACACGATCTCGTGGCGTCCTACATTATGGCTATGGAACAGAGGGGTTTAGTGGGTTTGCTCCCAATCGGGGAGAGAATCCTACATAACTACCGTGCCTTCCCCGAGGCACGGAGTATGCCTAAAGCATTCCCCTCTGAAAAAAAGGACTATCATAAAATGGATCTTAACTTTAATTCTAGTACCAAACAAGTTGTTTTAAAGACCACAACAAGGTTGACAGTATAAGCATACTGATATCCTTGTTCGATTATTTGTTGAAATATGTTATTAGTACAGGTTAAATAAAAAAATATCTTAGAACTCGCTATCTTGTTGTCAATATGACAGGTGTACCTTAATTTCGTTATATTTTTTTTTTCTAAATAAGGACTAATTTTTTAAAAACGAGGTAAAAATTAGTACCTCGATAGAGGTATATTTACAATTTAATTAGTTAAGGTACACTCGACATTTTGACCCTCACAAATCAGATGTACACCCTAGTAGGGTAGTTGTAATAGTTATTGGCCTATAGATCGTTGCCCTCACTATCAGGTTGAACAGACCGATGACAGATATCTGCGGAAACTGTGACGTCACATCCTGCACATGCCCCCGTCTGGTTCATGATGTAACCTGTGGTCTGTAACAATGAACTTGTCATTGGTCAAGGATACTCGCTATTGTGTTTTAATGGCAAAAGCGCGTGGCTTATGGGATTCTTTTTTCATGTTAATTTCATTTGTTTAGTCATATTTTAGTTATGTGAGAAAATGTGTTGCTATGGTATTTAGTAAAAAAAATATACGTGATGTTTACTGTATTTTAAATATGAAATCGGTAATGTTTTAGTTTATAAGTTTATCTATATAATTATAGTATATATTATAGTTAAGTATAACACATATCAAATGTCTTGGCGGCTCAGTGCGCATCCTTGTGCGTTTCTCTACATTTAAAATTGTGTTCTACGCCGCGAATTGTGCAATGTTCGGAGCCTAGAAGATATTTCAAAAATACTATACACATTCTTTTGTTACATTACAAATATTTTTAAGACATGACTTATCAGGCTTATGCACGAATTTTTATCGTGAGCCCTCTCTATTTATTTCTACAAATAATAAGACGCAATATAAGTATTTTAATGTTGTTAAGTAGCGTCAATCCGTCACGCTTTGCTGATGATGTTCAACACGACCGCCTCATTAGCGTTTTTACCCGACAGGAGGGCAATTTTATAAATAATTATGTGTAATATGATATGCGTTTCATCGTGATATCATGTAGACTTGACAGGATTTAAAGTGTTTGGTGCTGTGCGAATGCTTAAGTCAAATAAGGATATCTGGGCCGATGAGAGAGGCGTTGCTATCATGCTATACGGTTTTATTTGTCAGAAAATATGTAAAACTTACATGTGCTTAGAGAAAGGAGGGCGTTAGTGAGCTATTATAATTTAGTTTGATTTATGCCCACCGGGTCAAATATCCTTGTCGATTTATATTCTTCTAACCATTAATTTCTGAGTTCAAAATCTCCGTTTAAAACCTATTGTCTGTTGTCAAAGATAATGCCAGGGTTGATAATATGTTTCATATAGCGACTTTGGGTCTCAGAAACCAACGCTAAGTGTTATACAATGATAATGTATATACGGCAGTTATGTTTATTACGTATTTTAATTAATTGATTACTGTTGCAATGTAATATTGTTGAAACACGAATGGTTGATTAATATGTTTATTAAATTCAGTATATTAAGGATGTGACCACTAAAAATATAAAGAGCTCAGTGACCTCCCAATCCGGTAACTATAACGAAGTAACAGCTCGAGCCGAGGCTCATAAGGGAGCCCTCGAGTCTTGTTACTATTAAACGAGGTTCAGGCTAAGCATCATCTGCGATCGGCCACCTCAAGCCCGGTGAAGCTGTAAATACTTCTTCAAGGCAAACAGTGACTAC